ATGACTGTGAGAAAATGTGGAAAATTAAGGGGAAATTTGTGAACCAAAGAAAAGATAATAAACTTAATATAGGGGATTTTAAAATATATTATTAGTTATTATATTTTATTTATTATGTTTTTATTATTCTTCAATATATTTTATTATTAATTATTTTACTTTATGATTAATTATTATTCATTATAATATTTTATTATTAATTAAAAATTATTAAAAATTGTATTATTAGGCATTGGAAATCTAAGAATTTTGTATATTAAATTTAGTATTTAAATAATAGAAACAAAATATTAAATATTAAAAAAATTACCTAACGTAGTATAATTGATATATTTTACTAATACAAGCAAGGTAAATTCAAAAATAATTTGTTTATTATTTTTTTGATCTATATATTTTTTATATATTTTATATTTTTTTATATATTTTATTTTTATTTATATATTTTATATATTTTTATATATTTTATTTAGTTTTTTATATACTTGATAATGTATTAAATAAAAAATAAAGGTTAATCAGATAATTTCTGAAGTTTAAGGCTCTACAGATATTTTTATAGAATTTTAATTGTATTAAAAATATCAATTTACACTTTAAAAATTATTAATTAATGTATCAAGCAATTAAATATTAAGTCTAAAGCTACTTAAAGAAGGTAGTTTAAAAACCTAATATAAAATATGTAAAATATTAAAAAGAAAACAAATTAATTTAACATTTTTATTGTTGCTAAAGAGCCTTTTCTAGACTTGAGTTACTCCATAAGAATATGTGAAAATATATTAGCATGGGAAATCTACCCAGAAAAACACTGAGCAAGAGAAAGAGGAAAGCCTTCTCGGGCAGGGAGTGAGGAATACGATCCATGGGATCGTATCGATCACGAAGCCACCACTTTTTTTTTGTTGGTCCAGTGCCAATGGCTGAGGAGTCAACGGCAGACAGACGTCACCAGGTGAATTCGCGGCGCCTATTTTTCCCCTGTAATTCCCTCAGCTTTTCCCCATTGATTTTCCACTCCCAATCGACCACCCGCCGCCGTCTATAGTATGTGTGTGTGTGTGTGTGTATAAGTGTGTGTGCGAGTCTAGGTAACAGTAATTTGGTGTCTTACTTGTTCTTGCGCGCCGGCAATCACACCTATGGGAATGCCTCTTACACATGTCCGATGCCAGCGATGACGATGCTCATGATCACCTGGCCACATGCTCATCATCATCGGGACACTGGGACACGAAGACACACTGGGATTGTGGACTTGGTTGGGTCTCGGGATTCCAGCATGCACTTTGGACAACATATTAGAGATCCCGAAGTCCTCGGTCCGTCGCATCATTAAAAATTTATCAGTTGATTGGAAAATTATAATTCTTTGCCTTTACGCTTTAGCACAGCGCCATGATTTCTGTCCAAGTCCATCTCTCAGTCTCTAAAAGCACTGAGAAAAATTATAGGTATAATATATAACATGGGAAATATAAAAAAAATATATATATAACTTATAAATAATAAAAATAATATAAATAATATAAATAATATAAATAATATAAATAATATAAATAATATAAATAATATAAATAATATAAATAATATAAATAATATAAATAATATAAATAATATAAATAATATAAATAATAAAAATAAAAAAAATATGTAATAGAAAAATGTAAATATAAATATAAACATTAAATTAAAATATACATAAAAAATAAATATATTAAAATTAAATTAAGAAAAAAAATATATATAAATAACAATAATAATAATAAAAAAAAATTGTTTAATATAATATTGACAAAAAATAACCAAAGAAAAATTAATGAAATATTAAAAAATACAATAATTAAGAAAATTCAACAAATTAAATGTATAAATACAAAATATTTTTATTTTTCTTAGCTCCTTAAAAAATTCTTTATCGTGTTAAGGTTCTACAAATCTATTTAGCTCCCCCAATTAATTGCAGTGTACCTGCTGTTGTGTCATAGACCCCCCGCCCCCTTCCAGCAGCTGCGTCTGCGTGTTGCTTCTATTTCTTATGGTCACATTTAATAACCGACCGACCGAACGACTGACTGTCCAAATGGGTGACTGACTGACTCACAGCGGCCAGTTGATCTGATCTGCGATGCTCTGATGGATGCACTGCAGCAATCCAGGACTGGACTAGGCACTAGTTCCCCCCTACCTACTCCACCTCCTCCTCCTCCTCAATGTTCCATTGCTGCGAAACGCTTTCTTTGCTTTTTGCTTTCTGATCGGCAGCTTATATCTTTGGGGAGTAAGGAAGGTATATTGGATGGCAGGTATATATGTTTATATATATATTTTAAATATTATTAAAATATATATTTAAGTATTTTTTATAAAGCTTTGTTTTTTAAAGAATTTTTAAGCTTTGTTATTTGGCCTTTTAAGATACTCCTCTTTACTTTAGGTTTAATATGGCCTTAAATTCCTTTATTTAATTTTTTTTTAATTTATTTAATTAGCTTATATATATTTTACAGGGTATCCTAGCTAACCATCATTTGTTCTTATTTTCCCTGGTATTATTTTTTATGCGCTCGCTTCTCCACTTAGTTCCAGATGCGGAAATAAATGCACTTGAATTCCTCGACTTGTTACATAAATCGTAATTTTCTATAGACTTGTTCTATATCTAATGTATATTGCATTTTTCGCTACTCGTTTTCTTTCAGTTCTGATTCGAACATCATATTTTTTTTCTCCTTATTATTATTATTATTTTATGATCGCTTATCTGCAAAGCAGACTCTCCTCCAGCTACTGATTTTTGCCAACAAAGTTTTGACTTGCAGCGTAATTCTTCTTATTCTCGCGCACTTGAACTTCCTGGATGACCAGAGAAGAGCTTGGAGCTCCCAGACCCGGGGTAAGATCAGCAGATCATGTGAACTTTTATGGCCATCATCGGTCATCACATCGTCTTGGATGTAATTAGGCATCTTAGCGGTACAGTTCGTCGAGGTTCCCACCGCCCAGCCATAATTCATTTTTTCTTTCTATGTTTTTTTGTTTTGTATTTCTTTTAGCCAATGCAAAATAGTAAGACACAAAAAAAAAAAAACATTAAAAAATATATGTATATAGAGAAGATTATTATGGTAATTTCTATTCTGATAGGAATTTTTGGTAGTTATTTGTCCTGAAAGAAAAATTACTGGATTTACTTCTTATATATAGCCACACTTTAGGCCAGTCTTTACTTAATATTTACCCAACGTGACCCCATTCTTGGGATTGGTATCCTATCTTCAGCTCACATGCTTAAGCCTTTTCTCAGAGACCTGCGAAATTCCACATGTGACAATTCAGCATTCGACGGATGGCCAAGATGATGGCCTAAGCTCCAAATGGAATGGCCAAGAAGCTTGGCTAAAAGCCTGTCAATCGCTGTCGTGGAAAGGTGTACACAGTAAAATAATTTATATTTTTACTTTATATTTTTAAAAATATATATATAAAATGATGGCTTACAAAGCTTACATTTTCAGTAGAATTTTTTGTGAGAAGGCTTTATTTTTATTAAAATTTAACTAGTTAAAAATGAAGCAATATTATTTTTATTAGTGATATTCACATCTTTCGTAGACAAAAATGCCCTAAGTAGAGTCCCAAAACTCTGGCCAAGCAATTAGCAAGCCAAGGCCCAGAAGAAAGATCACCGCAGAGACCTCAGTTTTGGGGCAACAATTGCAATTGCCCAGGAAAAAAAACACAAAAAACAAAAAAGAAGCTATGAAGAGAGAAGCCAAGAAGCCAAGAAGCTATGAAGAATGAAGAAGAAACCAAGAGGGGCGAGGTGAGGCGAGGGAGTACTACTCTATACTGACAGAGAGGAAGACAGACAGAAGCGGGACTTATCAGAGACAGAGACTGAAAACTGCGACTGCGAGTTGGAGAAAAGCAATTCTGCGGCTGACGGTTTTTCGTAGAAAATTACAACTTGCGGGTAAACAAAGTCAACTGGCGGCACCAGCTCGCGGCAAATATGGGGGAAGCAGGGCCTGACCAAAAGAATTGGCGATGAAGCCACACGCCAAAGCCCAGCCCCAGTTCTAGTCCCAAGTCCCAGGTCCCACCAGTCCCCAGTTCCCCAGCCTCTTTGCCTCCTCTTCAGCCTTCAGTTCTATCTCTTTTCGCTGCCGGACTTCATGTGGAGTTGTGGATGTGTTTTCTGGGGGATTTTCAATGTGGATTGTGGATGTGGGTGCGCAATTATGCCGCCAGAAAACCATAAATTTTCTTATCAGCACAAGAAGTAAATGCCAGGAGCGGATTTCAAAAGGAGAACGGGTGAAGAAAGTGTTGTTTTTACTATTTTATATACTTAAAAGTTTAAAAAAAATATATGATTTACTTATTTATAATTTATTTATTTAATAAAAAAATAAATTAATATAGACAATATATCGATATTTTCTATATGATTTATTTATTTAATAAAAAAATATATATTATAAATAAATAAATAAAATTTTTAAATATTGATAAAGGTTGAAAATTTTAAAATATTTAGTAAAATCGATTTCAGCCAAAGGAAAAATCCTGTATATCGATATTAATATTGATTGGGAATGTTGATAGATAAATAAATCGCATTCAAATCATTTCAAAAATATCGTCAACTTATTTTTTAGAAATTTATAAATATTAAAAAAGGTTTGCAAATTTTGAAAATTACATAAAATCGGTTTTAAGGAAAAAAATCAAGTATATCGATATTAATATCGATTGGGAATTTTTATCGATAAATAAATCGCATTTAAATCATTTCAAAAATATTGTCAAATTATTTTTTACAAATTTTTAAATATAGAAAAAGGTTAGCAAATTTTTAAAATATGCATAAAATTGATTGTAACGTTAAGATATAAATATTATCGAAACACAATCGATTTATATTTATCAAATAATATATAATATAGTAACCATAAATCAAAGTTGGCTACTTAAAATATCCCAGTCCCCAACTAAAAATCCACTCCGAAACAATATTCGAATCAAATCGAGAGCCAAACAAAGAGATCAACATGGATCAGGATACGGGCTTTGATGCCCTGCATCCCAGGGACTATCTGATGGATCGCGAGTCGGACCTGCTGGCCGATCTGCCCGACTTCCACAAGATGAAGCTGGCGGATGTCGATGTGATTGAGCGCAGTGCGGCCAAGTGCCAGCCCCGTGTGCCCACCGAGGTGAAGGTGTACAAGTGGAAGGATCCGAATGCCGAAAAGGAGACCGACCCCTGCGGGGAAGAGTCGGAGGAGCTGGAGATACACAACCTGATCGAGGAGGGTGCCTCCACCAACGAGGAGGCGCCCGAGATACGCATCATCATGGGTCTGGACCAGCTCCTCAAGCGCATCGAGATCATGCAGTGCGACATTCGTTTGCGTCAGCAACTGGAGGGCACCATCGAGTCGCAGACGGAGGATCAGGCCACCATGCAACAGGAGCAGGCGGATATGGACAAGTGTCATGGATTTCCCCGTCACCTGGCCGAAATCCGGCAATTGCAGCGAGCCCAGAATCAATTGCAGTGCCAGGTCACAGAGCTCTTGTGCCGCTACGCCAATCTTAGGACCCAGAAACGTTCCCTGGCCCACCAATGGAATCTTGTGCTCCAAAAGACCGCAAAAATAAGAGAATTTAGTCGCGAATACCAAAGGTGGATGCAGGACACCTCCCAAGAGATCTCCTTGTGCCGCAAACGTTCCCGTGAAATCCAAAGCCGCAAGCTGACGAAGCATCGAGCCAACGAGGTGACCGAGACGAACATCTGGAGCTCCTTCCGCTACAGCCAGCGATATTTACTCCGGAAGCTGGTGACCCGTCACATGAAGGACCTTCGCGACGAGATCCAAGACCTGAGGCGTTATAGCGAAGAGCTGACCACCGAAATCGACAAGCGGGTGGTGTGGATCACCAAGAAGGCCACCAAGTTAGGGCGCTTGTCCAGGATATCGGATGAACCTCTAGCTAACGATGTTTCCATTGACATGATTCCATCCCTCATCAAGCTGGGTTCCAAGCACAAAGGTCGTCGCACTTCTAAAAAAACTCAATCGTAGTGAAAATCTACGAAAATTTAAGCTTACTTATTTCAGTTTTATGTTTAGAATATCAAAATCCTAAAAAGCGAACAGTTGAATGAAAATTTAATACATTTTTGGCCAAGTTATGTTAGCTTCACTCTTAAAAAATCACCTTCCTAAAAACCAAAGCCGCCCCTGAACTTGAAACTACAAAAAAAAAAGGAAATAGTGTGGAAATTGTGGGAGGATAACGATGGAAATGGGGGGTAAGAAAAAGCGAAATAAGCCACCAGCACATGGGCAGTACATCATTTTGGACTTTATCAGCTGCAGCGGCAACAGCAGCAGCAACAGGCAGCCGAGCAGAGCGCGTGGGCAGCCATGGCAGAGTTGGAATTCCATTCCGGAGCCGATGCCGCCAACGCTTACCCAGCAGCAACATCACTTGAAGCAGCAGCAGCAACATGAGCAACTTTAGCAGGCAGCAATTGCAACTTAATTGAGGCTTGTCTATGCAGTCTTGGCCAAAAGTAACTGCGGTTGCTCCTCAGTCTGCTAGTGTGTGTGTGTGTGTGCTGCAACTTGATGCCTCGCTGCCCCAGTGCCTTGATGCTCCACAGACGACCAGACAGCGGCAACAATAACAAAAAAGAGCGACAAGCAGCAGCAACCTCAGCCGCATAATAACGTACTGAGGGCGTTGAGGCAGCAACATGCAACCAAGGCAGGCAGCAGGCAGCAAAGGGAAGAGAGGGCTTCATCAGCTAAGGGGATATGCACTTGAAAAAAAATTAAGAGTTAGTTTTTGGAAATTTCATAATATTCAATTTTTTTTTTTAATATTTTCACAGCTTTAAATTTTGTTAAAACAATTAAAAAAAAGTCTTCAAAATTTCCCAAATTGATTTTTGAATTCCACAACATAAGGAAATATTTTTTTTATTACTTGAAATATTTTAAATAATTAAAAAAAAGATTTGTTGATTTTATTATTTTATTTTTTTTACAAAAAAAAAATAAATTTGGTTAAGTTTTAAATATTTCAAGTAATTTAAAATAGATTTTTTGATAAAAATATTTATTTTATATTAAACAAAAATAATATAAAAATTCAGCAAATCTCTTTTTTAATTACTTAAAATATTTTAAGCTTAAAAAAAATTAATTTTTTCTGTAAAATAATTTTTTGCAATCTAAATAAATAAAATAAATAAATAAAATATATTTTTGTATACAACACAAAATATAAAAAACTTTTATATTCCTTTATTTTACCCCAAAAATTAAGTTTGTTTTTTGCTTAAAAGAAAAAATAAATGCACATTATTTATTATTTATTTTTTATTATTTAACAATTGTCTAGTGTTATATAGTGCTATTTTTTTAAGTGCAGCTTACAGAATGATCTAGCGAAGCCCATCATCGTGGCCACCGCCAACTACCGACAACGAAAAACCGAGCGAAAACCACTCCCCTCGGGCCATGGACAATTTAAGCTCATTCACTTGCCGCTGATTGCTGCTGGCAGTTGTTGCTGTTGCTGCTGCTGCTGCTGTTGTTGCTGCTGCAGTGGCTGCTGCGGATGGTGGCTCTGACTCTGCTGGTTTTTGGGCTTGTTGTCTAGCAAATTCACAAGTTCAAGACCAAGAGCAAGGCAATGTTTACAGGGTCTGGTTCAGTGGCGTATACTTAAGGGGGGGCCCTTAAAAAAAGATTTTATATTTAAATATTTAACTAAAATATTTCTGCGTTTAAAAGGGAATTTTAACAAGAAAATTTTAGTAAAAAAGAAAGGTTTCACATAAATTTTTTAAATTAATAAAAGTATCTTTTTAAAATTTATATAAAAATATATAAAAATATATAAAAGTATATAAAAATATATAAAAATATTTAAAAAAAATATAAAAATATATAAAAATATATAAAAATGTATAAAAATATATAAAAATATATAAAAATGTATAAAAATATATAAAAGTATATAAAAGTATATAAAAATATATAAAAGTAATAAAAATATATAAAAATATATAAAATTATATAAAAATATATAAAAATATATAAAAATGTATAAAAAGGTATACAAATATATACAAGTATATAAAAATATATAATAAAAATATATATATATAATATAAAATGAATTAAATACTTATAAAATATTTGTTTTATAAATCAGAAAGACCTAAATTATGAGCATTTCTTAAATTGATATTTATATTTTATCAACATAACTTTTGTGGGAAAATTATGATCATATTTTAAGCATAACTCGACCAAAAAGGCATTAATTTCAAATCGGAAAACAGCTCTGTGCTAGTTTTTCTAAAGTTAATAAGTCTGCATACTTCATTGAAAATTTTTAAAAATTAAACTTTTTCACAAATTTTGATGATGTAACCCCTTATAAAATTTTGAAAAAATTTAAAAATATTTTTTTTCTCCGGACATGGCTAAAACGATTCGGCTGATGATGCTGATCAAGAATATATATACTTTATGGGGTCGGAAATGAATTCTTAAATATATAATAAATATATTGAATATATAATACCCTAAAAAAAACTTAAAATTATAAAAAAAATATGTTTTAAACAAAACCAAATATTTAAAAAATGTTTTAAAACATACATATTGAAATGTAATATTATTATACATTTTTTTAATATTTTAATATTATAATTATTATATTTTATTTCATTTTCAACACCTTAACTCCATTACCCCCTTATTGTCTAACTCCGCCCCTGTCCCTGATTCCGTGTTGCATGTTGCCGCTGTGGTTGTGCCGGCGAAATACATGCAACCAAATTGCATGCAATGCACAATGCACTTATCTAAGATGTGGCAGTGGGTGCTGTCTGCCCAAGACACAAGACTCCAAACGAGGAGGGGGTTGGGGCGGGGCGAAGCGTGGCAATTGCCATTGCAATTTGCATTTTGCATCTCGCGCATTTCGCACCGGGCGTTGTCAAATGGCCATCCTCGGCAAATGGCAAATGGGGAATGGCTTTTTAATGGCCACAATGTGGGTTAAGTCCAGCTCGGGAACAGCTCTAATAGATCAGCAGGAGTGGAGGTTCTCCACCCACCCAAGAAAGAGAGGGAGAACACAATAATCCATTGGATTGAATACATCCAGAATGCACGGAACCAAAAGTTATTGTATTTATTTTAGAAATTATTTATTGAATATATTATATTTATTTTAAAAATTATTTATTGGATTTATTATATTTATTTTAGAAATTTTAAGATAAATAAAGTATATATTTATATTTAAATTTCTATTTATTATTGATAAAACAGGTAAAAAAAAATATAATAAATTATATTTAAATTTTCAATTATATATTTTATTTATTTATAAAATAAATTTTAATATAAGAACATTATAAATTATATATTTATATTTATTATTGATGAAACAAGTCCAAAAAAATTTTAATAAAATATTCAAATATTATAAATTATACATTAAATATATATTATAAATTATAAAAATGTAAATTATACTTTATATATATTTATAACATAAATTTTAAGATTAGAATAATATATATTATATATTTATTGAAAGAAATTAGAAAAAATCGCGTAGGAAAAATCTTAAAAATTATAAAAAATAACTCAAAACAGGTTTTTTAGACATATAAATCAAGCTATATTATTATATATATGTAGGTTATATATTTTTAGTTATATATCTCAAAAACTATAATTAGATTTTATATTTAAACCACTCCCCCCTTTCTCTCCGTGTAAGACCAAACACGAAAACATCAAAGGCCCCCAGAAGGCTCTCAGTTCGAGTTAATAGTCTTGAGGGTGGGCAGGCCTAGGCTCATTTGCGATTTGCCAGCCAGAAAACTGCCAACTTGCATGTCAATAGAACATCAGTCTTATTTTTTGTTTATACTTTTTTTTTTTTTTTTGCTTTGGTTTTGTATGGGAACTGGAAACATAACTGAAAGTGTGTTTAAATTGAATTCTTTACTTGAAAAAAAATATTTTAAATAAAAACAAACTTGCTTACCAAAATTGGCAACTTGAATATTTCCCCATCAGCATTCCTTTGTCTTGATTTTGATTTGGGCTCTCCTCGCCTATGATTTATTATGGTTACATCTAATTAAAACGGTTCTGCAGTGCAATGATGATGGCCAAAGGCAGCAAACATGGCCCGACGTAATGAAGCTAAATGTTCCGCACTACGGTCAATTGGTATTGACCATAAGACAAGCCAAGGCGATGGCCATGGCACCGAGAACTGAGAACTGAGAACCGAGAATGGAGAACTGAGAATGGAGAGAGCTGAGAATATAGAATGGAGAAATGAGAACCAAGAACCAAGAGATGCTGTGCGTGGTGATGAGACCAAAAACCAAGACTAGGAATTTAACAAAGTTGCTGCAGAGTAAAAAAAATATATATTTATATAAATAAATAATAATTAAATATATTATTTATTATATATACTTGGGAAAATGTTCTTAAATATATAATAAACAGCTGGAAAGCAAGAGTTCCTTGAAGATTCAAATACAAAATAAAAATATATACACAATATAAAATAATATAAATATAAATATAATATTTAAATTATAATAAATAATATAAAAATAATATTTAAATTTAAAAAATACTCAAGAAATTAATAAATTAACAGAAAAACCATATACAAAATATATAATAATACAATTAATGTATATTTTATATATATTTTTTTTTGTTATATTTTTTTATATTTAATTATTTTTATATTTTGTTATCTAATTTTTATATTTTTTATATTTTTTATATTTTTTATATTTTTTTTTATATTTTTTATATTTTTTATATTTTTTATATTTTTTATATTTTTTATATTTTTTATATTTTTTTATATATTTTTTTATATATTTTTTATATTTTTTATAGTTTTATATATTTTATATTTAAAATTTTTACATGATGATAATTGAAAAAACCTAAAATTATAAAGAAAAAAAATCTAAGAAATACAAAACAGAGTTCTATAGTTCCCTAAAAGTTTTTGTTAATATATATACAGCTAATATTTGTTTACCTTTAAAATTTATTAACAAAACAAAGTAAACAATAGCTCAAATCCTAATCGTAATGATTTTTTTCTGCGTGCCACATGGACATGGCCTGGACATTACGAATGGCAATGGCAATATAGCAATGGCGATGGCTCTTACCTCGTTTTCAGCTGATGATGGAGAAGAAGTCAATTAAGCCAAACGCTAAAAGGCCACGAAAGATAAATGACAAATGACGTGTCTTAAACTGTGCTCGGTAACCATCTTTAAGCAAAGAGCACACACACACATATATGTGTGTATCCCAGGCCAAGAATTGCACATCCCAATCCATGTCCATGTCTCATCTCAGGCACTGTGGCCACTGTGTGTAATTTCCAGCAAAGAAATATCGCAGAGCAAGTGCAAATGCAATTAGTCGCGAGCTTTATTTGTTTAGACGAATGCCGACTCGCGCACTGACATACACGATCAGCGTCGTCGTCGTTCATGATCATGATCATGATCATGCCAGATCCTCATTCCCCATTCCCCATCGCAGACCGACTCCCGATCTTCACCTTCCAGGAACTTGTCGACGAGTCGGCGGAACAGGAGCAACATTTAGATGGTTGCCTTTATAATTGCCCCAATGATTTTGCGCTGTATTTGGCCAGCTCAGCCCATTAAGATGGTTGAGATGCCGCACACCGCACACCGCCCTTCTCCTCCGCCTTCGAGTTCTGCTCCCCTCCCCCTGGAGCTCTGGGAAACTTTAAAACCCCATTGAAATCGGTTAGCCATTAATTAAAAATGGTTTATTTATTTATCTGGAAAGGAGAAGGTTTTTTTTTAAATCAATATTCAATTTATATATTTCTATATATTTTTATTATTTTTGCATGATGAGAAAATATATAAAAATACCTTGAGATAGTCCTAGTTACTATATAAAACGCCTTGATGGCCTACTATATATTTTTATGCCTGCCAGTTTATGTTCTTTAAATCATTATTATATTTTTCTTTTTGTTGACAGCCCAAAAATATGCACAATATCATGAAACCAGTCTCAGAAACGATCTGTGAGAGCACTAAACCAGTTTTCCGAAGCTTAACAAAACTGTTTACTCAGTTTTACCTTAATACTTACCCAAAATTTAAAAAAAAAATTTTAAAGAAAAATTGAGGAAAAAACATTTTTGAAAACTCATAACTCAGCCAATTCAATTCGGAAAGCTGTTCTGAATTAGGATTTCTACGCTTAACAAAACTACATACTACGTTTAGGCTTCTTTTCAATTTCACTTTTTTCCAATTTTTACATTTTTAATGATGGTACCCCTTACATATTTTTGAAAAATTGGTGCGATTTATATATTAACATTTTTGAAAATTCATAACTCGGCCAAAAACGCATGAAATTCAATGCGGAAAGCTGTTCTGGATTGGGATTTCTACGCTCAACAAAACGGCATACTCAGTTTTGCCTTAATATTTACCCAAAATTTTTAAACAAATTTTATTTGGGGGAAAAAAATGGGTGCGATTTATTGTGATAATTTTTGGGGGGAAATAAACATTTTTGAAAATTCATAACTCGGCCAAAAACGCATGAGTTTTGCTTACAAACTTATCTATAATTTTGAATAATTTTTTAAATAAAAATTGGCAGGAAACCAATTTTTCAAAATCTTATAGCTCAGCCAAAAATGCATGAAATTAAATTTGGAAATTCGTTTTAAGTTAGTTTTTATAAGCTTAACAAAACTGCGTAATTAATTTAATTCAAATACCTACCAATAGTTTTATATAATTTTAGGATCGGCAGAGGTGAAGCTGGAGGAGCAAGCAGCTGGGATGACAGACCTCAACCCGATGGCAGTGGAGGACGGTGATCGGATCTTGGCTCCGGGCTAGTTATCCTGCAGCAGTCGTAAATAATTAAAACATTTATAAATCCAATTTAAATATGTTTACATTTACATATTTAAATTGGATTTATAAATGTTTTAATTATTTACGACTGCTGCAGGATAACTGAAGGAACACACTAATATGTATCAATATGGAAAGGTTTGTTGAAGGCAGAATTTATTTGGGGGCCTTGGGATTGTTTAAGAAAAAAATCTAACTGTTTTGAAAGCAAAATCAAAATTTTTTAATGTTTTTCTGAATTTTTAAAAATTTTTTCGGACTTTTTATAATTTTTCTAATGATTTAAATTTTTTTTCTAAATTTTTAATATTTTTCTGAATTTTTAGAATTTTTTCCGCAGCAGCCGTAGCACCCGCCGCAGCCGCTGTAGCAGCCGCCGTAGCAGCAGCCGCAGCAGCCGTAGCAGCAGCCGTAGCAGCTGCCGCAGCCGCTGTAGCAGCCGTAGCAGCCGCCGCAGCCGCCGCAGCAGCCGTAGCAGCCGCCGAAGCCGCCGTAGCAGCTACCGCAGCCGCCCCAGCAGCCGCCGCAGCAGCCGTAGCAGCCGGCGCAGCCGCCGCAGCCGCCGTAGCAGCAGTAGCAGCCGCCGCAGCCGCTGTGGCAGCCGCCGAAGCCGCCGTAGCAGCTACCGCAGCCGCTGTAGCAGCCGCCGCAGCCGCCGCAGCAGCCGTAGCAGCCGCCGCAGCCGCCGTAGCAGCAGCCGCAGCCGCTGCAGCAGTAGCAGCCGCCGCAGCCGCTGTAGCAGCCGCCGCAGCCGTAGCACCCGCCGCAGCCGCTGTAGCAGCCGCCGTAGCAGCAGCCGCAGCAGCCGTAGCAGCAGCCGTAGCAGCTGCCGCAGCCGCTGTAGCAGCCGTAGCAGCCGCCGCAGCCGCCGCAGCAGCCGTAGCAGCCGCCGAAGCCGCCGTAGCAGCTACCGCAGCCGCCCCAGCAGCCGCCCCAGCCGCCGCAGCCGCCGTAGCAGCAGTAGCAGCCGCCGCAGCCGCTGTGGCAGCCGCCGAAGCCGCCGTAGCAGCTACCGCAGCCGCTGTAGCAGCCGCCGCAGCCGCCGCAGCAGCCGTAGCAGCCGCCGCAGCCGCCGTAGCAGCAGCCGCAGCCGCTGCAGCAGTAGCAGCCGCCGCAGCCGCTGTAGCAGCCGCCGCAGCCGTAGCAGCCGCTGTAGCAGCCGTAGCAGCCGCCGTAGCAGCAGCCGCAGCAGCCGTAGCAGCCGCCGCAGCAGCCGTAGCAGCCGGCGCAGCCGCCGCAGCCGCCGTAGCAGCAGTAGCAGCCGCCGCAGCCGCTGTGGCAGCCGCCGAAGCCGCCGTAGCAGCTACCGCAGCCGCTGCAGCAGTAGCAGCCGCCGAAGCAGCCGCCGCAGCCGCTGTAGCAGCCGCCGCAGCCGTAGCAGCCGCCAAAGCCGCCGTAGCAGCAGTAGCAGCCGCCGTAGCAGCCGCCGCAGCCGCTGTAGCAGCCGCCGCAGCCGTAGCAGCCGCCAAAGCCGCCGTAGCAGCCGCTGTGGCAGCCGCCGAAGCCGCCGTAGCAGCTACCGCAGCCGCTGCAGCAGCCGTAGCAGCCGTAGCAGCACCCAGCTATACAATAAATAAATAAATAAATACAAATAATTGGAATACTTGTAATCATTATATTTGTTTAATTTTTATAAATAAAATTGTACAAAAATCGTTAAAAAATAAAAATAATTTTGCTTATTTATAATTTACAGTAAGGGTGGCTAGGATCCCTCGGCAAAGCCATTGCTGGCAGCTTGCTACTGGCAGCCGCCGTAGCCGCAGCCGCTGCAGCAGCCGTAGCAGCCGCCCCAGCAGCCGCCGCAGCCGCCGTAGCAGCCGTAGCAGCCGCCGCAGCAGCCGCAGCCGCTGTAGCAGCCGCCGCAGCCGCTGTAGCAGCCGCCGCAGCCGCTGTAGCAGCCGTAGCAGCCGCTGTAGCAGCCGTAGCAGCCGCCGCAGCAGCCGAAGCAGCTGCCGCAGCAGCCGTAGCAGCCGTAGCAGCTGCGGTAGCAGCCGCCGCAGCCGCCGCAGCCGCCGTAGCAGCTGCCGCAGCCGCCGTAGCAGCCGTAGCAGCCGCCGCAGCCGCCGTAGCAGCTGCCGCAGCCGCCGTAGCAGCCGTAGCAGCCGCCGCAGCCGCTGTAGCAGCCGTAGCAGCCGCCGCAGCCACCGTAGCAGCCGTAGCAGCCGTAGCAGCCGTAGCAGCCGCCGCAGCCGCCGTAGCAGCTGCCGCAGCCGCTGCAGCAGCCGCTGTAGCAGCCGTAGCAGCCGCCGCAGCCGCCGTAGCAGCTGCCGCAGCCGCCGCAGCCGCTGTAGCAGCTGCCGCAGCCGCTGTAGCAGCCGTAGCAGCCGCCGCAGCAGCCGTAGCAGCCGCCGCAGCCGCCGCAGCAGCCGCCGCAGCCGCTGTAGCAGCCGTAGCAGCCGCCGCAGCCGCCGTAGCAGCTACCGCAGCCGCTGTAGCAGCCGTAGCAGGCGCCGCAGCAGCCGTAGCAGGCGCCGCAGCAGCCGTAGCAGGCGCCGCAGCAGCCGTAGCAGGCGCCGCAGCAGCCGTAGCAGCCGCCGCAGCCGCTGTAGCAGCCGTAGCAGCCGCCATAGCAGCCGTAGCAGCCGCCGTAGCAGCTGCCGCAGCCGCCGCAGCCGCTGTAGCAGCCGTAGCAGCCGCCGCAGCAGCCGTAGCAGCCGCCGCAGCCGACGTAGCAGCTGCCGCAGCCGCCGTAGCAGCTACCGCAGCCGCTGTAGCAGCCGTAGCAGCCGCCGCAGCAGCCGTAGCAGCCGTAGCAGCCGTCGCAGCCGCTGCAGCAGCCGTAGCAGCCGTCGCAGCCGCTGCAGCAGCCGCCGCAGCAGCCGTAGCAGCCGTAGCTGGCAGCTTGCCACAGGTGGCCAGCTCCGCCGCCGCCGCGGTCGTTGTTGCTCATCCGCTGGCTGGAGGTGGCGTAATCTGCGCAGGCTGGAGGCTACGGCTGGCGCCACTGCCACTGGTGGCCAGCTCCGCCGCAGCCGCCGCGGTCGTTGTTGCTGCTCCGCGGGCTGCAGATGGCGTATTCTCCGTAGCGGAGCAGGCTGGAGGCGGCGGCTGGCGAGGATCCCTCGGAGAAGCACCTGCTGGCAGCTTGCCACTGGTGGCCAGCTCCGCCGCCGCCGCCGCCGCCGCGGTCGTTGTTGCTGCTCCGCGGGCTGCAGATGGCGTATTCTCCGTAGCGGAGCAGGCTGGATGCGGCGGCTGGCGAGGATCCTTCGGAGAAGCGCCTGCTGGCAGCTTGCCACTGGTGGCCAGCTCCGCTGCCGCCGCGGTCGTTGTTGCTGCTCCGCCGGCTAGAGGTGGCGTATTCTCCGTAGCGGAGCATGCTGTAGGCGGCGGCTGGCGAGGATCCCTCGGAGAAGCGCCTGCTGGCAGCCTGCCACTGGTGGCCAGCTCCGCCGCAGCCGCCGCGGTCGTTGTTGCTGCTCCGCCGGCTGCAGATGGCGTATTCTCCGTAGCGCAGCAGGCTGGAGGCGGCGGCTGGCGAGGATCCCTCGGAGAAGCGCCTGCTGGCAGCTTGCCACAGGTGGCCAGCTCCGCCGCCGCCGCCGCGGTCGTTGTTGCTGCTCCGCCGGCTGGAGGTGGCGTATTCTCCGTAGCGGAGCAGGCTGGAGGTGGCGTAATCTGCGCAGGCTGGAGGCGGCGGCTGGCGAGGATCCCTCGGAGAAGCGCCTGCTGGCAGGCTGCCACTGGTGGCCAGCTCCGCCGCCGCCGCCGCGGTCGTTGCTGCTGCTCCGCCGGCTGCAGATTGGCGTATTCTCCGTAGCGGAGCAGGCTGGAGGCGGCGGCTGGCGAGGATCCCTCGGAGAAGCTACTGCTGGCAGCTTGCTCCTGGAGCCGGCGGCTGGCGAGGATCCCTCGGAGAAGCCACTACTCCGCTGACTAATCGTGGATGGATATCGATAAAATGCACTTAACCTACAGACATACATTCATATACAAATACAATAAACATAATACACAATCGTTTACGGGTAATAGCTAATAGGCATAATCATAATCTTAATCTTAATAATAATAATAATAGTAATAGTAATCGTCATAATAAAAGAAACAAATGTACAAATCTAAACAGAACTACAAAGCCAAGGGTACAGTAGGTAGACAACAGGTACAGGGGATATACATAGATACACCTGAAGCTTAAGTTGGTTTGGTCTAATTTGGCGGCACTTTTACATTAAATTTACATTTAAGCAGGCTAGCTGGCCAAAAGCTATAGCTCTATTATGGCAAAAAGGCACATAAATAATGGCACACAGGCCAAAAAAAAACAGGAAGCCCTCCGCCGTTTCTTCTTCGTTTTGTTTTTGTAGACAAATCACAATCTAGCACATCACAGGCAGATTTTACGTACAGTGTAAAAAGTAACTACTACATTTTAGGTGCTACAGCATATAGTCCTGGGCAGAGAGGATATATTGTTACAGCATCCTCAGATTCCCGTCTCAGCAATGCCCTCGTCATCTGTAAAAATGTTTAAAAAACGAATTAGTAAATATTTTTCATTTCATTTTTACATAAATAAATTTACTACAATTTACAAACAAAAAATCATAACACTAAAAAAACTAATATATTCAAAAATTCGCTTTTCTTCTTTTGATGTCGAATGTTTGTAGCTTTTTTTAATGCCTTTTACCTTGGTGGTGCTGGTGTTTTGGGTTTTATTGTGTCATTTGTTAGTTACTTTTTGCCGTTTTGTGCGGTTTGTTAATATCGTGTTTGTTTTTTAGTCGTGGAGAAAAAAGCGAAATATATTTAAGGCAAAATTATAAAAAAAAATAACTATATATCAGGCAATGCTGGTTGGTTGTTTGTTGTTGTACTGTTGGTAAGTTGTTTGAGTAGTGTTGTACTGTTGTTGTAGTGTTGTTGTACTTTTGTACTGTTGTTGTATTGTATTGTACTGTTTTTGTAATGTTGTTGTATTGTATTGTTGTTGTATTGTATTGTTGTTGTATTGTATTGTTGTTGTATTGTATTGTTGTTGTATTGTATTGTTGTTGTATTGTATTGTTGTTGTATTGTATTGTTGTTGTATTGTATTGTTGTTGTATTGTATTGTTGTTGTATTGTATTGTGGTTGTGTTTTCTGTACGTTGTGTGGTTGTTGTTGTTTTGTATTTTGCTGTGTTCTTGTGTTGTTTTTGTTGTGGGTACAAACCTAATATAAATTAAAGACGACTTTAGCTATCTCAATACCACCAGCCATCGCCATCCTCATCCTCAGCGCCAGCAACAGCCCCATCCTTGGCCAGCTGCTGCTCATCATCATCATCGTCGTCTGTTTCGCTGTCTGAATGAGATTTGCTCGAGACTTTGCAGATTCTCTCCTGGTCTAGCTTGGGATGCTCTAACGATTCCTGCAGGATTGCATGCTCCTGATGGCTGCCGCTGCTGTTACTACTGCTGCTGCTGCTGGTGTTACAGCTGGCCGATGACAAGGTGGCCGTTGTCTCATTGTTCAGTGGCTGCTGGTCATCGTCATCGTTTTCATCTTCATCCTCTTCATCCTCGTCCTCATCAATAGCTTGCTGCTTGAGGCAGTTGCTTTCGTTGGGAATTTCGTGAGATTTACGCTTTTCGTTAGCCTCCGCCGGCAGCTGTTGCTCCGTATCCTTGTCGGTGGCAACCATGAGATCCGGTTCCAGTTCCTCGGCCTTGGCCAGGGAGGCACGTATGGGCAGGGTACCCATTTTCGTTTGTGGCTGTTGTAGCTGGCCATTAGGGCGTTCTAAGTAAATTTTAGTCACTTTTTTGTGTGTGTTTTTTTTTACGATTTTTTGTTGCAGTAGTTTGTTTTTTTTTTGGTAATTTTTGTTTTTTTTTGCAGTAGAAAAAGCAGTTGTGGAATATGGAATGTAATATGTGTAAATTGTTAGGCATTTTGTGTGATTTACAATTGTGTTTTAAGTGTGTGGGTTTGTTGTGTGAAAAGAAAGAAGAAAATCAATTATTTAAAAATATTATTTGGTTAGTTACGAATTTCAAAAATAAATCAAATAAAAAAGGAAAACCTTTTGAGGAAACCGCCACAGCCATCAAAGAGGATAAAGCACCATTATTAAAAATTATATTACAGCCCAAAAGGTCCAGTTTTTTATAGAAATAATAAATTTAGAAATTGAAATTAAAAAGTTGCCAACAAATAAAAATTAATAAAACACTTTAACCAAATCAAGAGAGGAAGGGGAGGAGGGATAAAAACAAAAAGATCTTTTACTATAAAACTCACCTTCATAGCCATCGTTGGCATGCAGCTCCAGGGAATCGGCCAGCAGATGCTCCTTGCCCTCCAGCACTGCCAGCAAACACTGATGGATGCACACATACTGCTGCTCCGTCTGCACCATGACCACGCGCTCTAAAAAATTGAGGAGTATAAGGGGTGAGGTTACTCCATCATCCATCCATTCACTTACCCTTTCGCATGGCAAACACTATACCAAATATGTCCACATAGTCGGACTTGTGTATGTGCTGCAGTATCCGGTCGAGGGCTATAAAGGTGCCCGACCTGCCCACACCAGCGCTGCAATGGACAATAATGGGACGCGAATCGGTGCCGACAACATCGCGAAAGGCGCGCACAAATCGCACCAGCGACTGCGGCGGCTCTGGCACCCCAAAGTCCGGCCAGGTGGTGAAGTGAAAATGCCGCATTATCCGGGATTCGCAGTTCTGCATATAAAAAATGCATTTCTTATTCATTTCCCGCACCAATTCTCATCTTACACTTACCCGTGAAACCATAAACTCCGAGATGCTCCAGTCATGGAAATGCGTATCCACAATCAACTGCACCTTGATGTCGCCATAAAACATGGCCACCCGATCCACCGGCCAGTATTGGTCACACTTTTCGCGTCCCTTTTCAAAGCAACGCGTCAGCATGACAATGGCCCTGGAATTGCTCTCCCAGCACATCCGCCAGAACTCCTCCCGCGTGGAATGCAACGGCCCCTGGGTGACAATAAACTCACGCGGTGAATTATGACCCGGCATATAGTTGGCATTGATGTAATCGGAGCCATCGTCATCGTCCACCGGCTGGAGCTTGAAGCGTGAGTGATCGTAGGGCAGGATGTTGGTGAAACGATTCTTGGGACGATTGCAAGGCAAATTGGCAAAGCTGCAGGGCTGATCGCGACCCACATGCTTCAGGTCATCAAATTCCTCGCTGAATCGAAAGTCCGAGTCGGCGGACATGAGACGATAATGCTCGGCAAAATCCTTAACATGCACAGGACGATTTGGTATAACATAACCCTCGGGCAGGGCAGCCAGCTCATCCTGCATCCTGGCTAGTTTGCTGGCTCTACGGATTAGCTGGCAGCGATGCTGGCAGTAAACCACCAATAGCACCACGGCCACCAGCAGCACCGCCGACATGGTCAAAGCCACAATCATGGTGTCGCTACGCTCTGTGGTTATTGGTGCACTGTACGCCGTATCCGTGAACTTGTCCTCGTCGGTGAAGGCGCGCACCTTGATCCTGTATGTGGTGCCGGAACGCAGCGGCCCGTTGCAGTAGCCCGTCGAATGGGAGTCACAGTTGGCCGAACCAATGGTAAAGTGCTCCGCCTCCAGCAGATTACTGCTGCTGCTCCCTCGCCGACTCCCATTTGAGCTTAGGAAGGGATTGTATGGCTCAATGGCCTGGTAGGGCAGCCACACCGTATATGCCTGGACATCCTGCCAGCTGGGCATCTCCAGGCCGGAGGCATTCTTGCCCACATCCTCCGCCACAATGATGGTGTAGTAACGCACCATGCCGTGGGCATTGGAGAAGTAACCCTGCCGGAAGCTAATCTCAATGGTGCTGCTACTACGACTCACCTCGAGGGGTGTGACACTTGCCTCTGGAATGGGCGGTGCCAATATGGGCATCCTTAGGTCATGCTCCCGCTCGGCCCCATAGCCTAGAGCTGATTTGGCCTGTATCCGGAAAATGTAGCGATTACCTGGAACCAAATCATCAATCCTGCCCTGCGTGGCATTCGCTGGGAACTCATAGTTGGTCACATCCATGCCCGCATCCTCCGCATTCTGACACGTAATCCTGTAGTAATCAATGGGGCCATGCTGCTCTCCCGGCTCCAGAATCCACTCGAAGGTCACCTCACCCGGCTGGATATCGCTGGGCTGGAAGAACTCCACCTTGCCGGGCAGGGCGGCCAGGGTTTGGTAGCTGGCCGAGATGGGGGCACTGCTGCGCATCAGCGTGCTGCTGCCGGAAATGTCCGAACCGGCTCGCACCACCACGGTGAATGTGTAATTGTGATACGGCCGCAGTCCCTGCAGCGTAATCTCCGTCCTCTTGGTCACATTCTGCAGCAGCTGGGGCTCCTCCGCGTCCGCACTGAGGTACTGCAGCTCAAAGTCAGTGTACTCACCGATGGGTGCCGTCCAACGCAGGCTTATCTCACGCGCCGCCAGCTGGCTGGCCACCAAATCCGAAATGGGTAGCGGATGCAGGCGATATAGACGCTGCACTGGCAAACTGGCCACTCCACCGCTCACCGTCCACACGGTCACGTTGTAGAGCTTGCCGGGCGTCAACCCGTTGAAGCTTAGCTTGCGCTCCGTGTCATTGGCCAGCTTCTCCTTGTCCTTGATCTTGGGATCGCCCATGGAGAAGCGATAGATGTCGAAGCGTGTGCTAGCCGCCGGCGTGGGTGTGTAGCTCAAGGTGATCGTCTCGTCCTGGCCCAGCTCATGGCCGGCATTGGCAATGAAGACGTCCGACTGTATGAGCGGCATGGTGCGGGTGAAGAGGTGGGTGATGCCGGAGCGAATGCCATTGGAGCTGGCCTGGACCTCGAAGCCGTACTGACGGCCCGGCGAGAGGTCCTCGATGGGGACACGCACGCTGGGGGAAGTTACTGCAAAAATATAAAATGAAATGAAAAATTAATTCTTATAAAATAATTAAATATTTTAGTTTAATAATTCTATTTTAGTAGTTTAGTTAAAAAATAATTAAAATAAAATATACACACAAATTTTAAAAATAAATAATAAAATACATAATTATAATAAAATATAAAGCAAATAATTTAAAAAAATATATAACAAAAAAAAAATTTATAAGAAAACATAAATAAATAAAATATTATTAATTTTTTTATATATAAATTAATTATAGGAAAATAAAAAATAAATTTATTAAATAAAAAATAATTATAAAATTATAATTAATTATAGGAAAATAAAAAATAAATTTATTAAATAAAAAATAATTATAAAAATATTTTTTTATAATTATAAAATAAATAAATAATATTGTAAATATTTATTTATTTTATACTTTCTTATAATTAATTTCTTTTAAATTTTATTTTAATTTTTTATACTATATTAAATAAATAATAAAAATATTTACTTCGCTAATCTCTATATATATCTCTCTCTTTCTACTCACCATCCTCCAGCTGGGTTACATTCTTGAATTCCACATTTTCCGCCTCGTCTGTGGGCCACCATTTGAGGCTGTAAAAATCTATGTGACCATCGGGACGTGGCCACTCCAGCGTGAGATTACGCGAATCCACCAGCGGCACCACATTCGAGACTGGTTGCGGCGGCATCGTTACATTCAGCTCCACGGGATGCGGACTCTCCACACCAAAGCTGACCGTGTTCACCTGGACCAGGTAGCGTTCGCCATAATGCATATCCTCAATCCGGGCCTCGTTCTTATGCAGGCCAGCGATGCGCTGCCAGGGTGAGGCATCCGTACGATACCGGACCACGTACTCGCTGAAATCACTGCCCTCCGGCGGCTGCCAGTGGAGCACCACCAGGTTGGTGTGCACCGTTTGCAGGGTGAGATTCTGTGGGGGTTTGGGAACTGCAAAAAAAAAAACAAAAAAGTGTAAAGAAATTATGTAAATAATACAAATTAAAATAAATTAATATTGAAATTTATTTAAATAAAAGGAATAAAATAATAAATCATAAAATTAATAATCAAGTAGTGAAGAAATATTATCACACTATTTAAACTGGTTTGAGCAGCCCACTCATTAGAAGCTTTATGGCTGCTTAGAGCCATTCAGTGGCTATTCAACAGGATTGCGGCATATATTAACCCCTCAGATAATATTCTGGCATTGCAACAAAGTATTTTAAAGTCAAAACCAGTCCGTTTTCTATGCTCAAACGCGTGCGGATAATAATAAACATTAATATTCTCTATAATAAAATTCTCTACAGATTTATGTGTAAAAATAACCAAGGGAGCTAATGCTTTAAATTGAATTGTAAAAATTAAATAAATAAAAAAATAATAAATAAAAAAAATATATAAAAAAATATATATAAAAAAAAAATATATATAAAAATATATAAAAAAATTTAAAAAAAATATATATATATAAAAACTTATTATATTATTATTTTAAAATATTTAAAAAATAGGCCCTAGTTTTTTAAATATTTTAAAATTAGTCTTTACAATAATTAGTCTTTAAAATTAAAAAAAACCCTAAAAAACTTTAAAAATGAACTCGAAAATACTGTAACTATTTTTAAAAATTTTGTTTTATATTTTACAAGTGCTTAAATATTGCAAAAAAAAATTATTTAAAAGCTTAAAAGCTTGCTTATTAAATTTAAACAAAAATATTCCCTATGAAAACCCTATTTAATTATTAAATAAATTTTTTTAAAACAATAAAAAAACTGAAATTCAACTCACAGACTGCCTGGAAGTAGGTATGAGGCTCGCTCCTGATCCCATGGCTAATGGCATGCACCTTCACCGTGTAACCGGAACCAGCATGCAGATAGTTAATCGTTAGCTGCGTCTCATTGGTGGCTATCGTTCGCTCCTCGCGTGTCCCATTCCGCTGGTAATGAACCTCGTAGCGATCCTGACGCGAATTCACATCACTTCGCCAGCTGAGCATTAGACCCTGATCGATGCTACGCAGCTCCTGGATGAGAGGCGCCGCCGGACGGGTATAGCGGGTTATGTAGCTGGCATTGGAGGCCACCTCCATGGATAGGGCCTGGACGCCAATCAAATAGCGACGTCCCGGCAGCAGTGAGTCCAGCGTGTATTCGGTGAGATTCGTGCGGATCTGTGTCTCTGAGGCGGCAGGAAATGTGGGTGGCACTTCGCTCACATTGGTCTGCTCATGGTAGCTGTAAGATTCACCCCAAATATCTTACATCTATTGATTTTTAAATATAGTATTTAAATTTGTTTACCTTATTCGATAGGCATCCTGTCGCCCCGTCTCTGCCGGCTCCCAGGATATGTGCAGGACATTGCTGTGATCATCTAGAAATCCACCCAGACTCCGCACCGGACGCGGTCGCAGCGTCACAAAGCCGCTGGTGGGCCACGAGTTTACATTGTCCGCTATGGTCTTCACCACCACCTCGTAGGTGCGACCCGCCTCCAGGACATCCGGATAATCAAAGTAAACCGAATCGCCCTCGTTGCGCGGCACATTGAAGATCCTTCGCGAGGTGGAGAGCATCACCTGGTAGCCATCGAATTCGCTGTACGTTGTCGGTGGCCTCCATTGCACTCGAAAGGAGTTGGCCGTGGTGTAGGCCTCATCGAAGGTCACATTGAGGACGCGCTCTGGTACGGTTAAATACCTTGCCGTTGTGGGCACCGATGATGTCTCATCCTCGGATACGGTTTGCACCGAAATATTGTACTCTCTGCCCGGAACTAGACCCTTGAAGGCCGCCTGAGCGGGTCCCGGTGGCTCACCCTCTTGCTCCACATACAGCACACTCTGGATGGCATCGTCGGGCGTTATGGACACCTTGTAGTGGGTGTAGATCCCGGCGGGAAACGGTGGCTGCCACAGCACCAGCAGGGTTGTCTCGTTGCGGAACCAAACGATGAACTTGCCGGGCGTATTGGGCTCTGTGTGGCGTGGTTTTGAGAGGAGAGGAGATGAGGCAATGAGAGGATGCAATGAGAGTTGGAATAATGCAAACTAAACTATAAACATCTAGGATCTAGGATCTAAAGGGTATGGGTCAATGGCAAGCTGGTGTTAGTTGGGAGTTTGAGATGGGCTTGGGTAAGGGTTAGACTAGGACTACGTTTTCGGGGATACATTTTAAGCAGCATTTTACAAGTACAAAACAATGAAAAGCAAATAAAGACACGGCACACTCCACACACAGTGGCCACCAAATCCGGAGCCAATCTACGGGGAAACCAATCTACGCTTCTTTTTTTATATAATTATTAAATTTTCAAATTAAAATCTTGCCAAATTTGAGCGCCACTGCATAAAAGCGTTAATATATTCAACTGGAATGTCAATAATTTATTAACAAAAAAAAAAAAACAAACATTAAGCTAGGAAAGCTGATTCAAAAGGTTCAAAAGGAGACTTAATTCAAGGAGCTGCTGGATTAATATATTCAAAAAGTGGGTTAGGTTTGGGTTCGGTTACCTTCAAGGTGCTCTTTTTCAGTATTTTCTCATTCCGCCGCCTCGAGATTATTTTTAAGAAATTGTGAAGAGTTAAATATGGTTAGTTTTTTGGGGGGTTTTTGTTCCCATCACCGGATTACACACACACCCACACGGACTTAGAAGTTGCACCGGCGATTCGGACCGCGCGTTCCTTGCCGCTGACCCGACTTACTTGTGGTGAAATTGCGACTGGTATAGGCCACCGACTCCTTGCCCTGGTAGATTGAATATGCCTGCACCTGGTAAGTGCCGCCGGGTGTCAGCTCCTTGGCCGATACCTGCGTCTCGTTGCCCAGCAGCGAGTAGCTGCGCTCGAAGGGCAAATCCGTGAGGCCTAGGACACGGATACGAAAACCAGAGTATCTACCAGTTCCAGGAGGTCGCCACGTTATGAAGGCGCTTTTGCTGGATCTCAGCTGGACGCTCAGGTTAGCTGGAGGATCGGGAGCTGATTTGGGAGAAGAAAAAAAACACTCATTAGTACTTATTTCCTAGGTAATTGTAAGCTTCATTTAATTTAATTTATTTAAATTTTATTATCAACTCACCTGTTGTTATATTCACCGTCCAGGTAAGCAGCTCCTGATGTGTGGAATTCGTGTAGTACAGCCAAAAATTGTACTCTGTGCCCGGCAGTGCCCTCGAGAACTTAATGTCCTTGCCAATCTCACTAGCCGGTATCGTAGTGTTTGGCTCGGGGAAGCCAAAGGGTGGACTGTAATCGATCCTGTAGAAGGCATTGTCATTGCTGCTGGCATTGGGAACGTTGATCACCAAGTCTGCTGCATTTGTGAGCTGAAAATATGATGTAAAAATATATAAATAAAGGAATATAATATAAAATGTTAAAAATTTAAAAAATATAAATATATAAAATGTATAAAATATGAAAATATGAAAATATGAAAATATGAAAATATGAAAATATGAAAATATGAAAATATAAAAATATGAAAATATAAAAATATGAAAATATGAAAATATGAAAATATACAAATATGAAGAAAATATATATAAAAATATCAAAAAAAGAATAAAAAAAATATAAAAATAGTTTAAAAATATATGAATATAAAAATAAATTAATTTAAAAAATATATATAGATAGAGATATAAATAAATTTAATTTTAAATATATATATAAATGTAAAAAATTTATAAATATAAAAATACACAATATATTCCATTACTATTATAACAAGAAAACCTCAAACTAAATAAACAAATCAATGGAAACTTTGCTAACTGCGGCTTTAGGTGTCTTTCTATAATTAGCCACTCAAAAACACAAAATAAATTAATTAAGACTGGGCAAATATATCACAACTTAACCGCAAAAATTAGCTGGGTTTTTTTTTATAATTTATTTTCTGTGAAACACTCGTAAAAGTCACAAGGTAAGTTGGAGTCGAAACGTAAGTTTCTAAATATAACTATCATTATCATTAGAGTTATTTATATATATTTTGTTATATCTAGTGCAATCTGTTTTTGTAGTAAAAAATCTAGTTATGATTCATTTAGCTTACAAAGAGCTCATTCCAGAGCAGCTTAATATAATAATCCATAATTATGCAGTTTACAAATGCAATTAGAATGCCAAATGAATAATTTTAGATAATAATGAAAGCAAATATCAATTTGCTAAGGCAATTTGTTAAATATTATTTGTTATTATTCCTTCCCAGAGAGACTTTCCCCCGTAAACCAGTTTAACCATGAATCCTCAAGGGTATTTCAATCCGCATTTAATTGAAGGCTCTCCTTAGATCCGCCGTATTTACCTCCCAGCTGACCTACATTCCTCCGTTTCATCATCAACCCCATTAATCATGCAGATAACAAAGCCGTGCACTTGCCTACTACATATACTATATATAGTATGTGCAGATAAGAGAGCTTGAATCTCTCAGCGATCATGACTATAGCAGGTATAGTATGCAGTGTGATTCACAGTTGAAGGGTTCCGTATGCATCTCGTGCTGGCATTATACTAAATATTATTTTATATTAAATTATGTAAAACCCAACAGAGAGAGCGCGTCCCCGACCTCGACGCATCAGTTATCGTTTGCCAAGCGGCCTTCGGAATGACCATCTACTATATACATATATGTATATATATAAAATGACCATCTATGGATTACAATGGTTATTTTTCACACATATATGTAGGAACAAATAGCTTGGAACCATCTCTCTGGGTATCATTTTCGTTGTATACAAATCGAAATTCCTTTGGAGAATCGTTCGTATTTCCTGTCTGGCGGTTTTCATCTGGCTTAAATTGCAAATATGCCCAACATAAATATATAAACAAGGCTTCTGGGTTGCAAAGGCTCGAAAGGTATGCGTAAATAGGGATATCACATGGAATAAACAAAGATGAGAGGACTTTAGTCATATGTTTACTGATTGAAAAGTTTATTTTAACTTGAATTTATTTACTTATTTATTTAATCTAGGGATATGGATATTATTTATATTAGAAATGTAACTAACTAAATTCCAAAAAAAACCTTTTAAAATGGTTTAACTATCAGTACACCCGAATACATTTCCATTATTCAAGTAGCAACCCTAAATAATTAACCAAAAATAAAAAACTATATCTATGTGTGCAAAATTCTAATCAACAAATCCCGATCTATTTGTTTTATTGTTTTCTGCTCGGCAACTTGTTAATTTTCTACTGATGTAGCTTCATATTAAAATTCACATTAAAATGTTTTAAATATATCGACGCATTTTCGCGAAAGTATCGTATGTCGTAAAATCCAATTTTACAGGAGAAGCTTTTTTGTGCTTTAATCTCTTAGGAAGCACTATAGAAAAGACAAAATTGAAACTTAATTTTTATCGGAACTATAGGGGTTTCAGTTATAATATTTCACAGGGTAGTGAGACATTAGGTGCCCAACAATTTTGCATTAAAATCTCAATTTCGAAAAAAAGCGACATACGATACTTTCGCGAAAATGCGTCGATATGTATATGCGAATGATAATGACGCTAATCACGTTTTGATCGTTATTCGGATATTAAGCTAAATGCTGACGTCATTGGCCGCATTACGGATATGGGGGATATCGCATTTCAAACGCTTAAAATATATATATATATATATATATTATACAGACAAGCAAAGATTTTAATGAAATTTCCAATTGCAATAGAGAAGAAATGTTGGGTTTCCGGAAAATGGCAATTGAATGGGTGAGTGTGCTGAACGACAAAACTATGAATGGGAAAAAGCAAGCATTTTCCACGCGATTGAAAAAAAACACTCATTAAAGCACTGGAAAAAATAAACTAATAAAAAAAACAAGAACAGAGGCTAATTTGGGGAAGCAATTTGCTATAGGATGATAGGAATTAATAGGAAATTAATCAATAATAATAAAAAATAATTTTATAATAATTTTTAGGAAAAAAAAATCATAACTCGACCAAAAATTCTTTAATTACAATTCGGAAAGTTAGTTAGGTTAGTTTTAGTTTTAAAAATGTTAATAAAAATCTGTATATTACATTTAATATTATTTTTTGGCAATTTATAAAATTTTTAAAAAGTGGTAACATTTTTTTATAATTTTTGGGATAAAATCAAAATTAAAAAAATCCATAACTCAGCCAAAAAATCATCAAATTCAATTCGGAAAGCTTTTTTATGTTAGTTTTAATTAGGCTAATAAATCTGTATACCGAATTTTAAAATTAAAGAAATGAAAATTTTTGGCAATTTTTTACGATTTTAATGATGTAATAACCCCTTATAAAATTTCGAAAAAATCAAAAACAAAAATTTTTTTTGGGACATGGCTAAAACGATTCGCCTGTTCATGCTGATCAAGAATATATATGATTTATAGGGTCGGAAATGACTTCTTCACTGATTTTTTGCAAGCTTTTGACCTCAAATTCTAATAAAAAAAAAACACACACTTGTATAATAATTTATAAAACATATTGTAGAATTGGAAATAATATGCAATAAACAGTTCCAAAATAAATACATATAAAAGTTCAACAATAAATACACCAATATTATTTCCTGTGCACTTTTTACTGTAGGAGGAAAATCAAATTTTCCTACGCTTCAAGTGAATGCAATTTGAATATGATTTCTTAATTTTGGTTTGCAGTTGTTGCCATTATTACCTACTATATTTTTTTTTACTATTATTGCTTTTTGCATGTCACATGCAATCTGAGTAATAACAACAATAAATTGCATGTGAAAACGGAAGTTAAATGGGTTTTTAGGCAAATTAAGTCAAAATCGGATAGGCCTTCCCCGTATTTTGCATCTTTGATGTGACGCCCACAGATTAGCACCTCCGATTACGCCCCTTCCTGCCCCTCGTTTTTTGTTTAATAATTCTTTTTTGTCCTTCGGCGTTTTGTGTGCATATTAATTTGCGAAATGAATGTGACCTTTAAGCCTAAATGGTCGTACACTAATGATCATAATTAGGATAAAGAGCTTGTATATTCTGTGAGATGATAATAAATAACAAGCTGCCACAGTAGGAAACCGAAGAGTAATCGTTGTTTAATAAACTCTCAACGTAGTTACTTAAAAATATATATATATAATCAGGTATTTATTTAAACTTTTTGTTTAAAAGCAACAAAAGACGGCACAAGAAAAGAGCGTTTCCTTTTTGATAAACAACAAAGCACAGACAACAATAAAGACAGCTAATAAAAAATTAAACTGCAAGAGGAAAATGGTTTATAAAGCCTTAAATTTAAATTTAAAATTTAAATTTAAAAATTTAATTTAAAAATTTAATTCAAAATTTTATTTTAAAATTTTAAAATTTAATTAAAAATTAAAAATTTTATTTTAAAATTTAAATTTCTACATTTAATTAAATATGTTATTAAATTGTTTTTAGTTACCATATTTTACCTCTTTCAACTGCAATAACTAATTATATAGTTTAAACTAAACGTTTGCTAAATACTTCCTTCGATACATCGATTAGTGGTGCAATCGATTATTCCGATTATTTGCACATACTAACAATTTGTTTAATCGTACAGTTACTTTACTTACATTTTGGGTTAAGCCACTTTGATTGACAATTTAACTTTTATTTTGTTATCTCTCTATGTTTTGTTTTACTTCCATTTATTTTTGTTTTGTCTCTGCCGTTGCCTTTCACTTTTTTCAATGGAAGAGATATTTTTTGGGAAAGTTTCAAAATTAAAAAAAAAAAAAAAAATGCGACCGGTGCAAATATTTAGTATCAAAAGAAGTTCTAAGTTGGTAATATTCCACCAAACGGTAAGGAAACTATTTATTATGATCATCATTATTGCAAAATTAAATAGTATTATAATAGTTGGGCTAAGTGAATCGAAAACATGAAGCCAGTGCGAAAATATCACATAAATCGATATCAAAAAGCAGTTGGGGGTAAACAAAAAAATAAAATAAATAAAATTAAGTAAATAAACGCAAATTGAAATGGCAAACGTGGAATGCGTGAGATCGAATTTAAGGGGCACATGAGGGGAAGTTGCTTGTGATTTTACATATATATATATATTTTTTTCTTGATATGTGTGATTTTTTTAAAACGCTGTAGGTTGTTGGCTAATTATTTTTATGGCCCACAGTCAGTGCGTGCAAGGGAGATGGCTGACACACAGCACAAAACGAAAAAAAAAAAAAAACACAAATCCAAATCAAAAATCAAAAACCAAAAACCTGTTAGGCCAGCGCAGTCGTCAGCTTCTCTTGAATTTTGCTTTATTTTTTGTCGTGTGTATATTTTTTTGTCATATTTTTTTTTTTGTTGCGTTCAATAAACAAATTACCATCCCCATCCCCTGCCCCCCTGTGCCACCAGCAGCAATTTAAAGTTATATCGCCTAAGCCGGTGCAACTAAAGCAAGTATTTTACGTTTTAACGCTTTTTGTTCAGGTCGAGTTGGCCCAGTTTTTTGTGTTGGCCCCGCAATTAATATCAATTAATTAGTAGTTGCTTTGTCAGAACACAGCGAGAGAGAGAGCAAGAATTTGGTACAACGATTAACGGCAGCAGAACAAAATAATGAGAGATCAGCAGAAAATTGGTCACATGTCATGGATGTTGGATATATAGCATGTGTAAACACATCAAGAGTTCAGCAAAACAGGTGAACTTTTTTACAATTAATCAGAAGATTTTTTAAAAAATATATAAACCCAAATGCATTGGCCTAAATTTAAACTGAATGAAATAGAGCATGAATTAAAATTATTCTAAACAACAATTAAGGCTTGGGCATTAGCAAAAAAGTAGCATAATTACAACAACTATCAATAACTCCCCAATAAATAGACCAACAGGTGCACTAGCAATAAGAACAATAATGATAAATAAAATAAAACAATCGTTTTTACCAGTAATTGCTCTAATAATTTCTCCAATAAATATAATTTAAAATTTATGAAAAAAAAAATATATTAAAAAATATGAAAATTCAACAATACATGTACCAATAAACTACTAATATATTAAATATAAATATATATAATAATATATATTTATAATATAAAATTTATATTTAATACATGTCATTAATAAAAACAAAAAATCAAAACAGAAAAATCAAATGGAGCTGTATACATATATAACAAGCTCTAATTAAAAACGATGCTTTAGTAAAACGAGACTCATATATTAGCTATTCAAATTGGGAAATGAAGCCATAAATCGTCTGTACATTCTACATATATATATATGTATATCTATCTAAAGAAGTCACCATATAATTCGTTTAATTACTAAACAAATCCAGAGCTCAGGCACCTCTCGTTGTAGTGCCACCAGACGTGGAGCACAGTGCAGACCAGAGATCACACCAGACCAGCAGCATGTGATATCTATTCTTGGAACTCTGTACTTCAATTGATGAGCCATATACTCAAGAGCAAATAGAGATTAACAAGCCATAAATGAATACAGAATGGTGTGTGTATATATATATGTAAGTATATATCTTTTGCGATTCTCCAGACCGATTCTCTATTTGAGTTGTCACTTGGCACGGCGAATATAATTCACGGCTAAAAATGGGTTTCGCTTCCTGCTTTATTTACTCGCATTTATTTTTGTTTAAAGAGTGTTGACTGTAAAGAGGAGAAAGCTAAGCTAAAGCAACTCCAGATGCTTTTTGAAAATAAATAAATAAATAAGCCTGATTTACAAGCAAAAATGTCTTGGTTTTTTATTTATTTCTGGTAGGTAATAACATCCAGTTATGTGAAATTCTAGCATTCCAATGGAAATGGAGCACTGCAAAGTCCAAAGTCAACTCCACCCGCATGCCAATTAGAAGTAAATATCTCCATTTTTAACCCCCTGTTGCCTGTCTGCCATATAAACAATGGAAAGAGTTAAGGCAAAAGAAAGGCAAACACACTGACGAGAAAAAAGAAGGTGCCAACACATAAAGCAGACCAACAGACGTACAGCAAATCGCACTAAAAAAAAAAAGAAAGAAAGAAAAAAAACACAAAACACAAGAGTTGGAGAAACACAGCCCACAAGCAATACCAGCCCACACCGAATAGGAAAATAAAATTCCAATTAATGGAGCCTCCAAAGAGCTGCTTCTTTCAATGCCAGCCAAAGTTAATTTTATATAGTTTCTACAAATTATAAACAAAATGGGAAACCCAAATGCAGTTTGTATTCCTTTTCAGAGGGTGGCTTGTCCAATTTCCCTCAACACATCCCAAACACTTGACACAGTTTGGGGAGCCCAAATTAGGGGAAGAGCCAGAGGGCAACATCATCATCATCCCGAAAGGGAGAGTGTGCCATGGTGCTGCTTAATTGCCGGCACTGTGTTTGATCTCTCCTCAATTCTAATTGAATTTCTCGAGATAGCTGTCTTCTAAACCCACCGAAAAGCAGTTAGTAATGGATTTTGTTAGAAAAACAGTGAAATATCAGGGTTAACATTAGTTAAACATTAGTTATAAAACCAATTAATAACTTTGTGATGGTGGAAAATGCTTTGCTAAAAATAATAATGTAATAACTGAAATTGTTGAACTATATTTCTGGGTAAAGCCAAGTCTGACAGCAGGGGATTTCCCTTTCTTCCTATCTCATTTAAAGATCTTTACTTTTCAGATACCCTCCTCACTTGGGGTATTGTGAACTATACTCTCACATTTTTTGTGGTTACGCTCTCATCTTTCACCCGCAAAGCTTAAAACAAAATAATAAAAAAAAAAGCTGCCTGATGTCATCGCCTTCGCTCTTCTTCGTTGGCATTTTTAATTTTATTGTTCTTTTTTTTTTTTTTTGGGAACGCTTAGTAATACGAATACTTTTGGCCAAGTTTGGGCGATAAGCCAGCACGTAATGACCTGCGATCCGCAATCGCGAGAACGGCCAGATAAAATTAAAGCCAAAGTCAAGGCAGCAAGATACACGTGAGCCCAAACAAAAAACCAAAAACAATAAAAAGAAGAAAAAGGTATCCAAGAATTCAAGAAATTTCAGTCGCACACAAAAAGTGATTAAAAAAAGTAAACAAAGGGGTTAGGGGGGCTTGGAAACCAACTAGGACAGAAATCAAGAAGCCGCTAAGTGAGTGACAAATTGCACAGAAAACAAAAACTTATTTTAAATTAAATATCAAATATTTTTAATTTTGTATTATTGCCCTTTAAAATTTCAATATTTTTTTCTATTTAGGGAAAGACCTTATGTATACCTTCTTTGTTGCGGTATTTCAAGCTAATTATTTAAGATTTCATAAAAATATAAATTCAACAATAAACTTCATGGATATTATTTATTATATAAATATAATAAAAATTGTATCAATAATTATTATATTTTTTTAAACCATTTTAAAAATAAGCCTGCTGCTAAAATTCACATTTAACACGAGATTTGTTCTGAACTTTGTTGTTGTTTTTTAACAATTTAAATGTCCATTGTTTTGCTAATTTTTTTGTTAATACCAACTCGATAATACAAATTCGATTGAAAAGAATATTAAACAGTTTTTTTGTACGTGTGTGCGAGGAAGTTCCGATGACAGCGGAGACATCAGAACCCAACCTTGAGTTTTACTTGCGTTCGCTTTTTAACTTTTTTTTTATTTAACTTTTTACTTGTTGATTGGGTTTTTTTATATATATACATATTGTTTTTGTTTTTATTATCTTTCGCTTGTGCTCAACAATGCGACACACAATGCAAAACGAAACGAAACGAGTTTTGTAATCGAAACAAAAACAACGACTAAAAGTCGATAAATCAAGGAGGAATATCTTGTAAATAGGTCCAACAAAGCACACTTAAAAACTTACAAATATAAAAGGGTTTCGTCATCTATAATAAAAGTGACAGACAAGTGAGTTCCTTTCATTTCTTGAGGTCTTTAAAGGGAATCACAAAACAGCCAGGCCCTTTTTTTTAGATTTTTTTAAGTAATTAAGTTAATTAACGTTGACTATAGAACAGACTATGGATATATTTTTAGGCTAAAATATGGTCTCAGTTCTATACTATATCTATTTAGCATCTGGATTTTGCCAGATTTCTGAGCTATAATAAATAAGAATAGCCAGAAACTAAATAAAACCGGTCAAGCAAGTTAGTAAAACGCAGTTAAAAAAAAATAATAGTAATATTAAGAGGAATTTTCTGACACCAACAATGGAAAATAGCTTAAATGTAATTTTGGGAAAACCCACAACTTGAAGTCCAGAGGTCAAAGCAGATAAAGCTATAAAATGAAATTATATTCCCAGAACTGATCAGGTGATGTTAAGAAAATTATGATTAAAAATAAACATTAATTTTTGTTATATGCTTTATGAACTTATTTTTGAATAAAATTAATAAATATTAATATTTCTTTTTCCATAAACTAGCTCTCCTCCTCAATGATTTTTACTCATCATAATTGCTCTCTTTTTTTTAATATTTTTATAGAAATCGTATATTTTATGTTTTATTGTTTCAACTCACCTGTGACAAGAATATTGTCAGAATACCAACAACAAGCCACAATTGTTGGTGTTGCTGATGTCGCTGGTGTTGGTGTTGTTGTAATCGCCGCCTCTTTCGTCCATGTGTTTGTTTTTGTTTCAGTATTGGTGATTGCCGTTGCTTTTGCCTTTGCCTTTGGTTTTGTTTTTGCGTGGCACTGTCCATTTTTCAAGTACAGTAAAACTCGATGATCGCCGAAGGTTTCGCAGATGTTGTGGGATTTTTCGTGGCTTTTGCGTTTTATTTTTAATTGTTATAACATGGTCATTTGTCTCTGCATTTTCTTTGTGTGTATACATGTATGTGCATGCACTGTTTTCGTATATGCTTATTACATATACTACAATATCACTCGATCAGTCATTACTTAATTAATATTGCACTTGTTTACGGGTGGTGTTAGCTCTCTATAACGGGAAATTGGGTAGAGATGGCAGAATGAGTGAGTGGAAGAAAGATACAGATTAGGCGGCTTGTTGTAATTGTTTTTTAATTCCATTTTCATTTACGACCGCCGGCTCCGCCGATTGCATGAAAAAACTGCTTTATGGTCAAACAAATCTATAACGGCACACACACATTTACAACTAGTAGTAGTAGTAAAAGAAGAAGAAGAAGCACAAGCGAAAGCGCTGCCGCTCTGATGCAGGTGGAAAATAAATGAGACAAGACCAAACCCGCGCGGAGCCTCTGCCGATGGTCGGCGTCGTCGTTGACGTCGCTGCTTCTGTGCAATCTTTCTTCAAGAAGAGGAAGCGAAAGAGAGAGAGGCATGAGAGATATGAACCACGCACAAGTGCAGGTCGGTTCATGCACACACACATGCTAGCTGTAACGGCGCTTTGCTACACGCACAGTGGTCTACCAATAAAAGGAACCCTAACAAGAGAATATAATACTTACAAATTAATGGTGTATAGTTATTTAAGTAAAACGAATCAAATGAACTCAAAAAATATATAAAAAAAAAAAAATAAATAAATTGGCAAACACAGATTTTTCAACTTAACTTTTTTCAGTTGTCCCATCGAGTCACCACTGTGGAATTACAGCTCGCTACCGCTGTTTTTGTTGCCGCATTACGAAATATCCAGCAATTACCAGACAATTGTTGTTGCCGCCTGTAGTGTTTTTGCACTTATTTTGCACAACCACTATTCGCGCGCCTGCGTGTGTGTGTGAAAAAAACCGAAATAAGTAAATGACAATAGCGGGAGGTTAATGGTGATTGCATTAAATGCTAATTGCACACGCATTTACTTTACTCCATCTCCATCACCACCGCCCTTTTAACCGCTCATCGGCTCTTCTCCTATTCCGCCCTTCTTCTTTTCCTCTCTCCCACACACACAAACACAAATTCCGAACACACACACTGGCCCACACAAGAGACAAAACTAAATGCGGCGGCGCACCAGCGTCGACAGCGACAACAAATTCACTTGACTGTTGCTCTTTTTGGTCCTCTTCTCTTATGCTGCTGCTTCTCGTTCTTCTTGCCGTCTCCTCCTTGTTCTTGTTTTTGTTGCACCTATTAAACAAACTAGTCACGTTTCATTTAAAATGGCTTTAGTACAGAAAACAAAGAAGTAAATGAAAGAATTTACAACAAAACCCGAATTTTGTAGCGCTGCGTCGGCGCTGTAAGTACTCAACAAAAGAAAAAAACTCACACAAACACACACAGCGAAAAAAAAATGGGACAAAAATCACACACCTAAAATACGGTAACCGTTATATGTCCGCATGTCTTGATGTTTGATTGAGTTTTGCGATTTGCCTCTCGATTCAGCCGAAAAAAGTTAAAACTTGTTGCTGTCCGATAAAAACAGCAACAAAAAGCGGCGACGTCGACAGAGGCTGTGGCAGTTGCAGCAACTGCACTTTATTTCACCGAAATTGGCGCCCTAGCACATTTACAAGTTCATTTTATTAAACATTGAATAAATCGGAATGCGCGTCAATTGCACTAGCCAAAACAGAGGGGAAAAGTGTCGTTACATTGCGGGCGCTGTTGGTTGATGCGGCGTTCGATGCGAGAGTAAAAAAAAAAAAAAGAATAACCAGCGGCGCGACTCGCTTTTATCAATCAAATTTTACGGAGGTGTAGAGCTGGGAAACTATCGATGGTACTATCGAGGTATCGACTTTTTCCTTTTTTTGAGCCACCATCGATAGTTTTTTATCACTATCGATAGTACGGGACTATTTTTATATCTCTGCTTTGTTGCTGAAATTTAGTAAGAAAAATGCAAACAAATATATATATATATGTATATATATATTTTTTTTTTATAATAAAAATGTATTCTAAATTAACTTAAATTGGAGTTGGTGGTGAAAAATATTAACTGAATCTCAAAAGAAAGGGTGCGTCTACGCCACGTCTTCAGAGTCTAAGCGTATGTTTAGCAATGGTAATACAATTTTATTTGTGCAAAGTTGCTTGGATAGAATATTTATGTTAATTACTTAGTCAAAACATATTGAATAGTATTATAATTCTATTTGAAATTGCTATAACTTTAATTTGCAAAAAGAATCGTAAAAAAACGATACTATCGATAGTATCGAATTTTCGTTTTCAAAACATCGAAAATATCGAATGGTGTCACTATCGATAGTTTCCCAGCTCTACGGAGGTGAAAACAAACTGTAGTCGAGTGTGACAGTGCGCCAGGGTTTCGTAAATATCTTGTAATTTCAGCCGAAGAGAGGGTTTTTTTCCGACACGGCAGCTGGTCACACTTAAATAAACTAAAAAGTATTCAAACTAAAACGAAAGGTGGAAAACTTGGTTGTTTGGCTTGCTTACATTGCCATCTATCGATTGTTTGAATATCGATAAATTAAACTAAAAAAAATCTATACAATTAAGCAAGAAATACATCTAAATTATAATATCCTAAAGGGTATAAAATCAGGACCGATATTATAGAGAAATACTCTGGAAAAATTGTAAAAATAGTAAAATCCCTGTTGTATATAGCTATAGAATAGCTACAAAATGTTATGTAGCAGCAATAAAAATATCTCAAACTTGGAATAAAATATCTAAATTGGCAGCACTGGTAAGGTGTCAACACCGAATGCCGAAAATCTGAATCTGCGTAGCACAAAAGATACTCGAGTCAAAACCGCAAGTGAGAAGTGAATTTAAAGTGTAGAAAGACCAGTGAACGAGCAAAATCGAAAGGTAAAGTTGTAAACTAATTAAAAGACTAGGAAAAAGAATATTTGGAGCAAATCAAGCCCAAACAAACACATGACAACAAGTTGTGCCGCGAAGAGAATGTATCTGTGGATGTGCTTGTGCCTGCTGGGAGTGTGTGTGCGTGCGCTACGGTTTTAACAACAATTTGGACTTGTTGTTGACCTTCGCTAATCGAAAAAACACTACGTATCTGTATCTGTATCTATCAGTTGAAGACCCAACGCTTGAACTCTTCCAATGTCAAGACGAAAATACCTGGCAATTGTGCGGAAGTGCGATAAAAAAAAAGAAGAGGAAAATAAAAGAAGTGACACACACACACATATCCATTTTACTCGTCTTTTTGCGCGCGCTTTCTCTGCAAAACAACAACAATGCAACATTGTAATCTATTACTTAACAATACTACGCTCTGCTCTCCCTCTCGCTGTGCCGCTCTTCCGCTCTCTCGAATATACATTCGTATTTTTTTGTAGGTTTTACTTTCTTTTTTCTTACCTTTTCGGGGCAACCGGCTGTTGTTGTTGCTTTATAGTATTACGCTTAGTGTCAGTGTGTGTGTGTGTGTGGATGGATTGTATTACCGTTATTCCGGTCCGGCAACCTGTTTTCGTCGTTTTCACACATTCTTATGAGAATTCCAATCAGAGTCTTTCACTTTCCTTAACAAAAACAACTTTTCATGCCTAGATCTGCCTCGGCTCTGCCTCTCCACCGCCCCCTTTATCTGTTGCTCGCTCTCCCACGCAAAGTTCTCTTTCGCACAAGTACAGTTTGTTATTTTGCAAGAAGGAAAATAAGAAGAAGGCGCTTACACCAGCAGGCGGAGCGACCTAGTTTGATTTTGGGTTGCTTTTTTTTTTTGTTGTTCGGCACGTACGCCAAAACATGTTGTGCCTGGATTTTTTGGGTTTTTTTCGGCCACTTTCGCTCCACTGGAGAAGAAGAAGAGGTGCACGGGGTGGCCACAAATAATAAAGCGGGCGTGGGTGCTGCAATATTAAATTCTATAATTAGCCGTGAAAAGCCACAATGCCCCTTGAGTAGCTGCGTTCGCTCGCTTTATCGCAGCTGCACGTTTTCTGCGCTTCTTTTATCAACGCAACAGCAACAGAAGCGCGAGCAAACAAAGAATATCAACAACAAAAGAGCCATTTGCATTCATTCGCATTCGCCTTTCATTGTTGCTGTTCCTGTCGATTTTGTTGTTGTCAGGTGGCAACCCTGCCGGCCTGAATGTTATGCAAATGTTCTCTCCTTTTCGCCCATTTACATTGACTGCCTCTCTATCCTGTTCTCACGCGCTCGCTCTCTCTCTCTCTCTCTCTCTTCGCACTCTATCTGTATCTGTTGTAAAGTACTTTGTGTGAGTGTATTTTTTTCACAACCGGAATTTTTCGCTGTTGCTTTTGCTGCGCGCATTCGATGGCGGTGGAGCAAGCGGGATGGCACGAGCACAGAGAGAGCGAGAGAACGCGCTCAGCTGCTCGCCGCGTTATCATTGCATTCGCTTTGTACCATTTTCGTACATGCGTCGATTTTCGTCAGTTTCGTCAATTCGCCTTTGTGTTTCTTGCGTGCAGACGTTTTTCCTCGAGCTCGTAGCTTTCCCAATTCAAAAAAGAAAATAAACTGAAAGAAGCGTTGCTTAAATATATTGAATACATTTTAAATCGAAACGAACGGTGTGCGTGTTTAAAAAGGTAATGTTTCAATGATTTCGTGGCAGCTGTGTTGATCGAATAAACAACAAGCCAGACAACGTTAGAAAGGCATTAGTTTTTAGCCGCATTTTCATCTCCGAAAGTTAAGCAATCCACAGATACAGCCGGTGCATTAATTCACACACAGTCGCAAAATACATTCAGGCAATGGCACTTTCAACTTGAAAAAATCAGTGTCCCCAAAAAACCGAAAAAAAATCGGCGAGGCGTACAGCAAAAATAAAGTAAAATCAAGCAATAACAACAAAAGTAACAACGCACCTGGAAGAAGAAGAAGCAGAAGCGACACAAACTGAAGCCGTTTCAAAAGTCACGTCACTCGCTGGCGCTCTCTTTTTCCACCCATGCACATTGTTTTTGTTGTTTCTGGGAGTCGAAGTAAATGCAACGAGAGCGCGCGCTTTTACGTGTAGTTGTGTCCCTTTTTCGCGTCCCCAAAAAAACACAAACAACAAAAAAGTTGCACTCGCCTTGCGTATGTGTGTGTGTGCTTGTGAGGCTCGCGCGTGGCTTAGCTGGCTATCTCGCTCACTCCCTCCCATTCATCTCGCTCGCTCTGTTGTTTTTGTTTTTTGTTTTTTTACTTGCTTGTATTTAAAACATGTTTTGAATTAAAACTGCCCTGGAAATAATATACACCACTTGCTGCTGCTCGCGGCGTGCCTGATAAGATATTTTAGGCATTTCAGCGGTTAATGTGGCGAAAATTCAAAAACTCGTTATCGCTGTTGTGGCTTTTTTACCCCTTTTTGTTCTTAGTTTCCTGAATAAATGTTCAAAATGTTTAGTTATTTAGAAAAATGTAAATTATAAAAATCATTTTAGTGGCTTGCTTTTTTTCTGTTGTAATAGCAGTGCAGAAAACAGGCACTTGGCAACACTGGACAAACTAAATCAGCTGTGTAGCCGGCGAAAATTTACACTCTTCTTGCAGCCATCTTGAAAAAATGTGTAATTTTACATTATAAATTATAAATTTATAACATTTTAGTGCTAATAATTTATAAAAAGTGATAGCTTTACTGTTATTGGCAATAACCACTTGTATATCCGACGCTTACCAACACTGCCTTCATATACAGCTGTCCCTACTAACTCGAATATTTTTGTTTATCTTTTTTTTCCAGCAGGGACGCCGCCGCCATTACCAAATGCAGCCAATTACAGTGAATCCCGGGCAATGGAAGTTGGCAATGCAGTCGCTCAGTACAACAAACAGAATAATGGCCGCGCACAAATAACATTAGCACAAAAAAAAAAGTAGCCACAGTGAAACACCGTCACCACCACAACCACAGCACCAAAATACACACAAAACACTCGAAAATAAAATACAACAAATCAGTTCAGTCACTCGCTTTTAGTTCCAACCACAAAAACCAAACCCAAAAAAAGTGAGAAAATATTCAACAAAACAATAAGCAACAAAAACGCTAAAACAAAAAACATTTCAACTAAAACAGTAGACAGACATATTCAAGTTCCATCATGTTCAACTTCCACAAACCGCGCGTCTATCGCTCCACCGACGGCTGCTGCATTTGCCGGGCCAAATCAAGCAGCTCCCGCTTCACAGCCTCGCGAAAGTACGAGAAGGAGTCGATGCAGTGCTTCAATCTTCATGAGCCGCGCAACGGCGAGATCTGCAATGCCTGTGTGCTCCTGGTCAAGCGCTACAAGCGTCTGCCGGTGGGCAGCAAACGTCACTGGGGTCATGTGAGTATACAAGTTGATACAAACTTAAAAATTCTTGACTAATTACCTTGCTTATTGCTCTTACCAGGTTGTGGATGCCCGTGCCGGGCCTGGAACCAAGTCGCTGGCCAAGCAGAAGAAGCGCGACAATGCCGAGGCAGCGGCAGCAGCGGCTGCTGCAGAGGTTAAGAGCGTGAATAGCTCATTTCTGCCGGAGAAGTTTGCTAAAATCTTCAAGAAGAAAAGCAAGGGCAAAATCACAGCAGCAGCAGCAGCAGCACCAGTTACCAGTGCTATCAACCGACCCAGCAGCACTTCACCCACCTCTGAGCACAATCCTAGCGATTCCAATGAGAGCTACGACGATGACATGCAGCTAACAAGAGGCGGAGGCGAAGGCGGTTCGTATCAAACGCGCAAGCGTACGGCAGCCGCTGCCTTGGCCATGGATGTTGTTAAACGTCCCAAGCTCACGGGCAGCAAGCGACGCCGCCAATTGCCACCGAAAAAGGATCGTCGGGCCGTTGATAATGTGCCCTTTTTCGAGGAGAACGATCTAGTGCGCTTGGAGGTCTGCTGCGGTGTTGTCTTTCAGAGCCTGTCCCTTGGCAGCTGTTGCTACATCATTGATCCGGAGCTGTATAAGCCCTGCGAGAAGCATCAACGTTTACGGCAGCAGCAACATCAGCTGCAGGTGCAGCATCAACAGGAGATGCAGCAGGAGAAGGAGAAGGAAAAGCTGGCCACTAACCCACCCACTCAAGTTCAAAGCCAGGCGGCCAAAATGGGGCCGCTGAAGAAGCACCATCTGTTCTTTAAGCGACAATCGGAGTCATTCCCACAAGGGGATGTTGTCCATAGAATAAGTCCAATTCCATTGAGCAAGACTGAAGCAAACAGCAGCCACCATACAACACAGAAGCCACAACAACATTCCAATTTGTCGCTGATCCTCAAGCCCACAGTAGCTGCCTCTTCCTCACTGCCAACAGCGGCAGGAGTGGTATCTGTGGGCGCTGCCTCGCCCTCATTTTCCTCATCCTCGTCCAACTGTTCCACCTCATCCTCGGTGGCCACCAAGTTCAATGACAACTCCTCGGACTCGGGTTTCGATGAGCATGTGCTGGAGCGCAAGTCTGTCAGTCCACCAACGGTGAGTTTATAGTTTATAGTTTTTGGTTTTTAAAAAGAAACTTACCTTTCGGTTTTTTCTCCAGCAGGATGAATGGAAGTTAAGAGGCACTGCAGCGGGCGGCATGCAGTTGATCCTAGCCAGCGGCCTGCCCATTACTGGACAGTCGCAAAATCTGGTGCTGGCGGGTAATGAGTTTACGGCCAGGATTGTGCAGCAGCGACAGCAGGAAACAGCAGCAGCTGGAACAGCGCCTCCACTCAAAATCAATGTGGTGCCCGGTGGCGGATCTCAGGGTAATAGCAATAAATTGCGTGCAATATTCAATAGCGCCAACAACAGCAGCAGCATTCAGCATGAGAACGGTGTGACCACCATACTGCCGGCCTCATCGCTGGCGGCCAGCAATCAAACGGCGGCAATGAATGCCATAGCGCCCAGTACGGTGACCATAACGCCCTCGTCTGTGGTGGGCAAGAAGGTAACGGCTGTGGCCAATCCCAAGTTTATATTGCTCAAGCCGGCCAAATTTGTGGGCCAAACAGTGCCACCTCCTCCGCCAGAAGCCAAAATTGTTTAAAGAGAGAGAGAGGGAAATGAAAACGAAAGAGAGGGAAAGAGAAGCCTAGCGTCTCGCAAGGAGCAGGTTCATAGGGTATTCCAAAACCACCTGCTTAAATTGTTGATTATGTACACACACACCCCTCTTAAATTTTTTTTAGATTATTTACTATTTTGTTTAATTTTTTTATTTGATAAATCTCTGCTCCCTTATGTATTTATTCTAAGTTTCTAAAATTGTACATAAAATTACCTTTTAATTCATTTTTTTACACATTTACACTCTCCTACAAAATATTACTTTTGTATGAATACTCAGCCGTAGCAGCTCTCCATATCATGTTAGCAATATATATACGTACATACATATATATATTTAATTTTAAATTTTGAGAAAAATCGAAAACCGAAAACCTTACCCTAGACATTAGTTTATGTACATACGATTTAAGCCAGCCTAACGACTTGTTTTTGTCCAGCAGCACTCTTATCTATATATATATATCTCGTCTATATATACCCCACATCCTCTGCGATTCTCGAGCAGGCTAAACACAAAACGGAAGACGGAGAAAAGCATTTTGAAAGCGATCAATCGCTGTAGTTGGACGTGTAGAGTAGTGCAGTGCCCTAGTAGTCTGTAGTTAAAACACACACACACGCTCGATCTTGAACACACGCTTGATCCTGCACACACACGCTTGATCCTGCACTCCACACCGATATCGATCCACGGATCACAGCCAGGCGTTGGAGTGGAAGGAGGCCAGCGATGGAACCACCCGGTAAACACACAAAGTATAGCCTTAGGAGAATGCCTAAAAAGCAAACAAAGCAAAAAACAAAAAAAAACCCATTAAGTGTGTGTTGAAAGAGCAATGTTTTTTAAATTTAAATAAAAGTCAACTTTTTGAAAATAAACTAAAGATGTCTTTTGAATTTATGGGTTGGAAATTATACTGTTATTTAGCTGGGAAATAACTTTTAAAAACGGAAATACATATAAACATTTTTTTGAATTTTTTTGTAGGAAATATTTAAGGAATTATAGTGAAACTTTGCAGATAATTAAAAAAGAAATCGGAAATAATAATACAAATATTTTATAAACCATATTTTACAAAATGGCGGACCTTTGGAATAACTATGCCGCAGCACATTCTAAAGTTTTTAATAAATTATTTATTTTTTTTATATTTTTAATCATTCTAAAATTTTTTAAATTTAAAAAATGTTTATATAATAATTTTAGGGAAAATCAAAATTTAAAAAATGTATAACTAAGCAAAAATGAATTAATTAATTAAACTAATTATTAATTTAATTTAATTAATTTCAATTGGGAAAACTGTTTTGGGTTAGTTTTTATAAAGTTAATAAATCTGCATCTTCATTTAAAATTTAAAAAAATTTAATTTTTATAAAATTTTGAAATACTTTAAACTTAAAATTTCGATAAATTGATAATTTTAAAGAAAAAGTTAATTTAAATTTAGAAAAAAATTTTACATTTTTTTTTCGAAATGTTAAGTTTAAAAATAATATAACTTCGCCAAAAAATCGATAATTTTAAATCGGAAAACAGTTTTATGTTAGTTTTTATTAGATTAACAAATCTGCATACCGAAATAATTATTAAAAATTTTTTTTATTTTTTTCAATTTTTGAAAAATTTAATGATGTAACCCCTTATCAAATTTCGAAAAAATTTGTACAAATTTTTTTTTCTAGGGACATGGCTGAAACGATTTGGCTGGTGAGGCTGATCAAGAATATATATGGTTTATAGGGTCGGAAATGAATTCTTCCGACTGAAATTTAAATTTTAAAAATTAAAAAAAATGTTAATATTATTTTGTATGACACTTTTCAAGAAAAGTAAAACTTGAAAGAAAATATCAAAGCTCGACGAAAAAGGAATTAATTTTAATTTTTTTGTTTTGTTTATGTTTTATAAATTTACAAACTAATTTAAATATTTTTAAGAACTTTTTTTTAACAAATTAAAATTTTTAGATTTTTTACTAGCTTCTAACTGAAATTGTAGTAACCTTAAAGGGGTATTAAAATTTAAATATTTATCCATAATTTAATATAATTTAAAAAAAAAAATTAATATAATTTTTCAAAACCCAAAATCAAGACTACTTGACTTTTAAAAACTGGTATTTAATATATGTACCTCTCGCTCTCTTGCAACGAAAACTTTTCTGTTAATTTACAAATACTAAATATTTATTATGATTTGTGCCTTGATGGAAAATTCGTCGTTGGAAATCCGTAAAAATCACAATGTATGTACAAAAGGCTAAATTATTTGGCAAGTGGATATATGCACATATATTTTGTGCTTTACAGGCTGTAGTAGAACTCGCGGGCGTCCAGATACAGGGCTATGCCCACCCAGACTAGGGTGTTCCAGGTGGCCTCCAGCAGGAGCATAAAGTGCGTGTTCATCGGTCCGATTCGCCAGTGCCAAGGGAGCATTTTGTGCATCACCGAATGGCCGACATACATCACAATGGCATTCATGCCGCATTCGGTAAAGGGATAACCCGACCAGCTCCACCTCTCCCTGACGTCTATAAAGTAATAGAGCAGCGAGAGGATCACCAGGGCCAGGCTGGCGGTGACGCAGACAAAGGACAGCGACCAGAGATTCTTGTTCACCGGTATGGCGCCGCCCTCACGTGAGAAACCGCACAGAGCGCCGCCGATGAGGCCCAGCAGGATGGCCAGGACCAGCCAGCGACGAATGCGTGACTGCCAGGTGGAATGCACCAGCAGTGTCAGGCCGGCAAAGCCACCCAGCAGCACCTGCACCACGCTCAGGATGCAGCCTGTCAAGGAAAGAGATTAAATTTCGAAAAAGTCTTTCCCTAAAACTCCAGAAAACTCACCGAAAATACCCTCCGGATCGAAGGCCGTGGAGTCGTAGACATACTTGGCCGTCGGATGCTGATAGATGTGCGCCTGTCCCAGCACCTGGAGATCCACATAGCCCGCAGCTCCTCCAATGCACTGGGGATTTGCATTGTAATCGTGCTTGCCGCCGGGTCCCAGATATCCCCGCGGACAGCCAGGCACGCGTAGGCCAAAGGTCAGCCCCAAATAAGTGGCCACTAGGGCCAGCAGCACGGCCAGCTCACCGCTAAACAGGCAGACATCATGCACGGCCCGTTGCCAGGAGCTTTGCGGACTTATAGGCTCCCGGCGGCTGCACAGCGTGTGCAAGATGCCAACGACCAGGAATGCCACGCCAAAGCGTTGCAGTACGCCCATGAGACGCAGTTGCTCCAGATTCGTGCCACTCATCGAGTTGAGGCAGATGCCAATGGCAAAAAGCTTGATTGAGCGCCACAAGATGCGCAGGCAAATCCTGGACTTGCTGCTGCCGCGCGAGAGCTGAGACTTTACGGAAAGCGGAATGCAGACGCCCATGATCCAGAGGAAGGACGGAAAGACCAGGTCGGCCAGGTGAAGGCCATTCCAGGCAGCATGCTCGATCCAGGTGTAGCCGCCGCCGCCGCTATTCACAAAGATCATCAGGACAATGGAAAGGCTGTGCGAGAAAAGAAAGTAGAAGTATTTTAAACAAGTCTAAAAGAAGTCTAAAGACCAGGCTTACCCCCGAAAGGTGTCCAGGCTGCGCAGGCGCTTCCTTTGCGTTGCCTTGGCAGCAGCTGCTCCAATGCTGTCGGCGGCAGCGTCGGCCTCATCGTAGCGATAACACCGCCAGGCGCAGCTAGCCAGCTTCAGCAAGATTAGCAAAGCGGCAACCAGAACGAAGACGGCCAGGAATGCTGCGGGGGGGATAAGTGATAAGAACGTATCTGGAGTGGCCAGCAATTGGAGCTCTCACCGTAATTGATGGGCACTCCCGGTTTGTCCACGGCAAAGGCGCAGGTACCATTGGCATCCAGGGTCAAGTTGTAGACTCCAAACTCCTGCAGGTCAGTGCGACGCAGCCAGCAAAGCGAGGAGCTGCCAAAGTAACCATAATCATAACCAGAACGAGAACGCAGAACGGAGAAATCGATTAAACTTGAGAGGAACTTGTATAATTGCCTAGTTAAGCTGTTTTCGCTTAAACTAGTTGGCATACAGTGGGTATTGCCTAAGTGTGACACGCAATGTAAGAGTTTAATAGAGAGGAAACTAAGTAATCGATCTTGGGAAACTTCAATTAATACAAGCTAATTTTAATTAAAATATGTATATATCAACAGGTGTTTAGCTTAATCGAATGGCCACTGTGCCAAGCACAGTGGTGTCTACCTACACATTGTCGTAGGCATAGTGACCCTGATCGTGTTCGAATATTTTGAAATTTAGCGCATATGCAGAGCTCAAACGTAACGGTTCGTCGTCGTCTGCGGGCAGAGCTTTCACTTTGGTGTATGGGCACTGCAAACGAAACGGAATTTAATACAGAAAATGACATAAAATCGAATTAAAGCTAATTGGAGTGAAATTGAAAGCGAAACCGATTGCGCATCGCATCACGCCTGTAACAATTGATTACCGTATAGCACTCGTCGGACAGTGTGTACAGGTATGTGCGCTCCGGGAAGTGCGACGCCAAGTACAGGTAGGCCTCGTCCACGGACAGGGCTCGCATATCTAGATTCCGCCACTGCGGCTCTGTGTATTCCACGAATAGCGACATTTTTTTAAATTACATTTGCACAAAAACAAAAAAACATAAAACAAATGCAACTGCAAACTTGCAATAACTTGCATTAACTTGCACTCTTTACACACACACACAACGCTCGGGGGGAAAACTCTATGCCCGCACACACACGCACACGGCGAGCGACTAACTAAGCTGAATTCGCCATCGACATTATGGTTAGCACAAGCTCGGAGCTCTAAATAACAAAACAATTTCGAGTGCGCAATAAAAACACAAAATCGCAAGTGGCACTAACAACAACAAAAAAACACTAAAAGCAACAGCAGCAACAACAAATAACAAACCGATGGGGGCGCGGCCAGTGTTGCAAAATGAGCAAAGCAGGGCAAGGGCTGCCAGACTGTTGGCATTACAATTAGTTTTTTAAGTAATTTATTATTTAAATAAAATATTTAAATTTTAAAAACGTATAAACCCTTGCTTTATATTGTATTTAATTAATTTTGTTATTATTTAATTAATCTTAATTTTAGGGGGCGTTTCACCACTTGCCTCGGTCTGGCAACGCCGTCAGCTGATTCGCTGCCAAAAAAAAAGAAAAGAAAAGAAATTGTTGCTTTTCTCTGATGTCGTCGTCCCAGGAATCCTAAGAACTCCACATCCCGGAACCGCATCCACATCCGCTTCACACCAGGACCAAGGATGACCGGCAGGCAGGAGAGCCGCCGCCTGTGCGCCGTCACCTTCTTTGCCAAACTGCATCCGGGTGACGTCTGCGGCAGCAATGGCCTGCCCCTCACGCCCAACTCCATTGCAATCCTGGGCCGGGCCCAGAAGCTCAAGGAGCTGCAGGACGAGCATTTGTGTCAGTATCTGGATGTGATACGGGGCAAGCATGGTCGGTTTTTGGCAGGAGAGATCACCCAAGGAATCGCCTTTAAATCACCTGAAATCACTTCTTTTCCAGAACGCACCATTGTGGTCTCCGAGTATCTGGGTCTCTCGCTCGAGGACTATGCCAAGCGCAATCCACCCCTGTCGCTGGCCCAGATCCTGCGGATCTTTTACCAGGTGGCCTGCGGTATAAACGTGCTCAGTCAACATCATCTGGTGGCCCACAATCTAGAGCCCAAGCATGTTCTCATCTCCGACGATGGCCGGCGCATCAAGCTCTTCAACTATGGGCTGCATCACATGACCAAGGGCGGCTGCTATGTACCCTTTCCCATTGGCAATATACGGTATATGTCACCGGAGCGGCTCCTCGGTCTCAATGGGAATGTCAAGAGCGATGTGTGGGCTCTGGCCATGCTGGTGGTGGAACTAGTGCTCCAAATTGAACTCTGGCCCAAACTGAAACTCTCGAATGTGATTCGAAAGATCTTAGCCTTTGGCCGGAGCAATGGGGTGCTGGAGAAGATTGCCCGAGAGCATCAGTGCTATGAACGTTATGTTTCCATGGACAAGGATCTGCGGCAGTTGCTGGAAAGCTGCCTGCAGGTGCTGCCCAAGAAGAGACCGCTGCCACAGGAGCTGCTAAAGCAGCCCATCTTTGAGAGCGTTTTGGCAGAGTTGAAGAAGGAAAGGGATCAGGAGATCCAGGAGAACCAGGAGCATGTGCCTCTCCTGCTGCGCTGCCCCTTGTCCCAAATCTATCATTTGTGGCAGCTGGCCGGCGGTGATGTCCAGGCGGAGCTCAAAAAGGAGGGCCTTATACGCAGCGAGGCTCCTATCTTGGGTCTGCCCCAGATCGTGCGTTTGAGTGGGGCTAGCGTGTGTCCGGGTCGCAGCCAGGCCCAACTCATGGACGATCGTGTGGTGCCGCTGAGGCTGAAGGCTTTGCTCCAGCGACTAAGTCGCCTGCCGGCTGATGTCTACTTTCCGCTGCTCCATTCCCCACGATTTCCTGCCCACTTTGCCCGCGAGCTGCAGGCCTTGCCGTTGGTGATCCGGGAGAAGGACATTGAGTATCAGTTTCAAAGGGTTCGCCTTTTCACACGCCTCCTGCAGGGTTATCCTCACACGGCGGAGCAGCTGCGTCGCGAGGCTTCCGTGGATGTTCCCCCACTGCTGCGTGGCCCCATTTGGGCTGCTCTGCTGGATGTGGTGCCCAATGGTAGTTATTGCAAAATAGACAAATTCACGGCCACCAGCACTGATCGCCAGATCGAGGTGGATATACCGCGTTGCCATCAGTATGATGAGCTGCTGTCCTCGCCGGATGGGCATCGCAAGCTGCGACGGCTGCTCAAGGCCTGGGTCACCGCCCATCCGCAGTATGTGTACTGGCAGGGATTGGACTCGCTGACGGCGCCGTTTCTCTATCTCAACTTTAACCATGAGGGTGAGTTGAAGCCTAATCCTTTGAAGAATCCTTTAAGTAATCCTAAACCTCCCTTAGAGTTGGCCTTTCTTAGCCTTTTCAAGTTTATACCCAAGTATCTGCAGTGGTTCTTTCTCAAGGACAATTCGGCGGTGATCAAGGAGTATCTAAGCAAGTTCTCCCAGCTGACGGCCTTCCATGAGCCTCTTCTGGCCCAGCACTTGGCCAGCATTAGCTTTATACCAGAGCTCTTTGCCATACCCTGGTTTCTGACCATGTTCTCGCGTGAGTTTTAGCTTTTCTTTTCATAATTTTAGTGGGTTTATAGCTTTGGCTTTTAGATGTTTTTCCCCTGCACAAGATTTTGCATTTGTGGGACAAACTCATGCTGGGCGACAGTTCGTATCCTTTGTTCATTGGCATTGCCATTCTCCGCCAGCTGCGCAGCACTTTGCTCTCCTCGGGCTTCAACGAGTGCATATTGCTCTTTTCCGATCTGCCAGACATTGTGATGGAGGGCTGTGTCTTGGAGTCCCAGAAGATGTACGAGGTGACACCCAAAAGCATAACGCATCGTCAGCATGCCCTGCATCAACAGCAGCCTCACTCGCTGGTGCGGTTTTTCTCTCCCTTAAAAATTTTAACAAATAAGAAAAGAGCTTAAATTTCCTCCCAGGACATTGGCGTAACGGAGGTGGAACTGAAGCATTTGCAGCTGGAGCAGTGTCCTCGTATTAGCGCCAAGGATGTGCAGGCTTTGCTTCTGTATTCCCCCTCAGAGCTGGCTCTTGTGGATCTACGCAGCGTGGTGGAGTATGGACGTGTTTATGTCCCACACAGCATCAATATACCCTTTGCCACCGTTCAGCTGGGTGACCAGCGGCTGGAGGCTTTGCCAGTGGCCAATGTGGAGACGCAGCTACGCGGAAGGATTGTGGTCTGCGTGAGCAATATACATCAGCATTCCGTGGAGGTGATTGAAACTCATTCTTTAGTGAACTTTATATTAATTTTCCCCTTTGATTCACAGTTTTCGCACTTTCTGGTGGCCTGCGGCATCCAGCGCACCTGCATCCTGCACAAGGGATTCAATGTCCTGCACTCCATTGAGCCAAATATACTCATCTCGAATTGAGGGTCTCCTCGTTGCTTCTGCTTCGTGTTTTTTTAGCCTAAGCTCAATGTGTACATTTCTTATCTTTTATATTATCTTTATATATAATATATATATAAAATATATACATTTGCAGAATATATATAGAGGATTCTTCACGGGGGGTTTCCCTTTAATATAAACTAGTTTTCTTGTTTTTCTCTCGACATTTTCCTTATGTCTTGATTCTTTTTCTCATAATGGTTTTATTAAAAAAAAAAAAATAAAAACACTTAAGCTAGAATTGCTTAACATAAATACATATATATATACCGAATTTAATAGCAATTTTTATGTGTATTACTTTATGTTTTAATATTTACTTGTAATTGTAGGTTGTTTTTCTTTTGAAATTTTTTGCTTTTACATTAAAAAATTATTTAGATTCGATTCAAGTTACTCTTCTAAGCATGTATATGCATGTCTATGCATGTTTATATAAGTATATATAAAGATGGGTAACGGGGAAGAGTACATAAAACTGAAATATTGCTGGTCCAAACTGAACCAGCAGCTTGCTCACTCAATAATATTCATTCATTTCATTTTAATGCATGCTAGGCAATTTTGTACACAAAAAATAGAAAGAAAATACAAGTTTTAAAAAAAAAGAAACTTCAATTATAGAGAAATCTTGGAATATTTTGTGTGGGACTGCAGTGTGTGATGCTACTTTGGCTATGGCTTTAGGGCTAATCAGGATTGTGTTTTTATGTTTTTTTTTTTTTTTTTTTAATTTTTCTTTAAGCTTAGAGAGACCTTCTTTCCTTTGCTCCTTTCCTTCACTTTCCTTTCTTTCTAACCTACTCTACTTAGTGGGTATGAAGCGCGCCTTGACTGCCTGACCCATTGGCAAATGCAGATGCTGTTGCTGCTGTTGTTGTTGTTGCTGCTGCTGCTGCTGCTGCTGCTGCATGTGCTGGTTAATCTGCTGCTGAATGGACAGGCCGCTGGCACTGCTGATATGCTGGCTGTGTAGCGGCTCATTGATCTCAATTTTGATGGCCGTGGCGGCCAAAGCCGCCTTGTTCTTGTTCTTCGGCGGGCGTCCTCCTAAAGAATAAAGCAAATTTAATAAATGAAAAGGAAAATTGCTTACAAACTTACGCTGCCCCGTCGTATGCTGCAGCGATAACGGCTGTCCAATCATTGCCAGCGGCTGCTGCTGCCCCGACTGCATATGTCCCGTCTTTTTGGAACGCTTCGGCGGCGGCAGTTCATGATGCGAATGGCTGGTTAACAGATGCTTGGACAGATGCTGGCGTACGGCAAAGGATTCGGCACAATTGGCCACCGGGCAGGAGAGATAACGGCCCTCGACATGCCGCTGCACATGCTTCTTGAGCAGCGATTCCTGATTGAAGCTGCTCGGGCAAATGTCGCACTTGAACTTGAACTCATCGTGCATCTTGAGGTGCTGATCCAGATGCGCCTGCTGCAGGAACTTCTCATCGCATTTGCCGCACTCGTACGGAAAGGCCAAACCGTGCGTCTTCATGTGCGTATGCAGCTGTGATTGCAGCTTAAAGTTCTTCTCCGGACAGCGGGGACAGTAGTAGCCGGTGACACCGGCATGCGCCTGCAAATGCTGATTGAGTGAGGTCACCTGTGTGAACTTTTTGTTGCAAACATTGCAGCAATATTGCTGCACCTTGTGGTGCGACTTCATGTGATTGTTTAGATTCGTCACCTGTAAAAGATTAGGTTTTGGGCTTTGGGTTTAAAGGAGATGAGGAAGCTATCTCCTCACCTGGGCGAAACTGCGACCACACTCGGGTTCATTGCAGACAAACGGACGCTCGCCGGTGTGCAGGCGCCGATGATTGTTCAGGTTGGTGATCTGGGTGAAGGTCTTGCCGCAGTCCACGCACTGGTACGGACGATCGTTTGTGTGGATGCGCTCGTGGTTCCGCAGATTGGCCGCCTGCGTGAAGCCTGGGAACAACACGGAGAGAGGGAGAAGAAGTCTTTATTATATCCGAAAGATACATGTGTATCTGAAAGATACATGTTTATCCGAAGGATAACCCACCTTTGTGGCAGTAGGTGCACACAAACTTACGCTCCGCGGAGTGATTCCGTATGTGCGTCATGAGCGAGGATTTGCGCGAGAAAGTCTTGTTGCATAGTGGGCAGGAGCCCTCCTCGTTGAATATCAGATCCACCTGCAAAGAGAGTAGAAGAAGGAGCATTAGTAGAGGTGTAGAGAAGGGATGGGTAAGACTTTCAACAGGGAAAAAACGGACAGAAAGCTGAAACATAGATTTATTTTATTTATATTTCCTTTGTTTATTATATTTATTTAATTTATTTAATATTTTTAATTTATTGAATTTAATTAATTTTTTAAATTTTTTTCATTTATTTAATTTTTTAAATTTTTTAAATTTATTGAATTTATATTATTTAATTTAATTAATTTATTTCATATATTTAATTTACTTAATTAATTAAATTTACTCAATTTATTTTTACTTATTTTAATTTTTTTATTTTAATTTATTTCTTATATTTAATTTATATTTTTCTATTTATTTATTTATTTTTATTTCAAATATTAATTTTTTTAATAAAGAAACATGAATGGGGTCTAATATTAAATGTCGAGTCCACAAAAAACTCTGTTTTTTTATTATTATTATTTAAAAATTAAGCAGGAATTACTAGTATTATCTTCTCAATAAAAATAAGCTTTCTTCTCTTTTAATTCAAGAAATCCAAGGGAATTTTTGACATTAGATTTTTGAACCTCACAGAAATACTCCCACAGTTTACAATGACTTAAAACCGGATACTCCTTCAAGCTTTATTTATCCCAATTCTATATGGAAGATTCTCTGAAGAAAGAGCGGAAAATAGCCAAACTAAGAATCCCGGGGTGCACTACTCACGCTCAACAATCTGGCGGCCAAGAGAACGGATTGCAAATTCCCGTGCGAATTCAGTTTGTTTATTGCGCGTATGCCGCCCCGTCTTTACCGAATTAAATACTAAATATTTTTAAAATATTTCAAATTATTATTATGATTTTTTTCGCTTGCTTTTTTTGCGTGCCACGCACACCAACACACCGAAAGAGTCAGCGGAAAATGAATTTTTTCCGCTTTACACAGCGCACAAAAAGCGCTGCTCTGCGCAACGCCAGCTACGACGTTGACGTCGACGTAGCCCGAGCAGAGCAGATATTAATGGAAAAAGAAGAACAAAATATATACGTATATATGTATTTATATATATATATATATATATAAAATATAAAGGAAAACAAGAAAGTGAGCAGCAACAATAGCAGCTAGTCGAATGTCAAATACCCTACTTTTAAATTGAAACTTAAAAGCTTTTTCAAATAATATAAATAAGTACATATAATAAAAAAAATAAATAAATAATAAAAAAATATACAAAATACGCTATAAATTATAACTTTATATAAGATTTATAATTTATTTTAAATAAAGTAATATAGCTACTATTTTCGGCTTATTTTTGTATATTATTGAAAAACTGAATATAATTATATTTTAATAATATATTTAACACCTTAAATTAATAATTGAAATATTTAAATAAAAATAAAGTTCTAAGCTATGTTTAGAACTAGATATTATAGGGCATTCTCCCTAGTCGACCTGCTTCGTTCTTAATTTTATTTATTTGTCTTCTTTTTTTTTTTTTTTTTTTTTAATTTTTTTTTTTTTTTTTTTGCAGTTCTCTGTTGCATGATGGAAAAAGAAGAAGAAAGGCAACAAGAACATGCAAAGAAACGGGCGAAATAAGAAGTGAGTGAAGAAGAAGAAGCAGAAGAAGAAGAGGCTATGAATGTGCAGGCAAACGTATGTAAGCCGCTGTGTATTTATGTATATTCTTGCTTTGTGAGTGTGGGAGTTGTGAGAAAAGGAAAAAAAAACAGCACAACAATAATAAACAAGTGCAGCAAAAGTAGAAAGAAAAAGAAAAGAAGAAGGAGAAGCCAAAGGAGCAAGAGTGCCCTCTCCCCTCCACAGAGCCACTACCAGAGGGGTGTGCATTACAGTGGGCGGGAGGGAGATAGCACCCCTAGAAATCTAATCAGAATAAAAAGGGGGAAAGGTTAGATCCAGGATTTGTTGTGATATATGTAATTTTTAAATACATATAATTTTAGTAATTAAATTAATTTACAAATGTTAACAAATATTTTCAACAATTTAGAAATTATTTGGTAATACGAAATTAATATATACAAAAAATGTAGGAACTTGTTGCATTAGGATAATATAAAAAATAAACAGAAAAATATATCTTTTTTAAATTTAATATTTTCTGTATTAGAGCTTTTTATGTCCACGTATGTATGTATGTATATTAGTAACTACCTTTTGTTTAAATTAGGTCATTGCGCTGTCATTTGAATAAATGCCAATTAGCTTTTTATACATATGTACATATATTGTATGTATGTACATACCTAATGCATTTATAAAGTAATTACAGTTTGGCCTATTTTAACCCAACCCCCCCTGATGTTATCAAGGATTTAAGAAATATTATAATCACCTGACCCCCCTCATCTACCTGTTCCCCTGCATATCCAACACTGTCTACAGGGAAGACGAAAGGGACTGAAACTGAAACGGGATTGGAAACTTACATCTTCGGAATCGTCCTGCGATTGTAGATTCTCGGAAGAACTCGATGATTGCATTTGCTGCTGTTGCTGCTGCTGCTGCGCCTGCTGATGCTGCAATTGCAGCACGGCAGCAGCGGCGGCGGCGTTGGCGGCATTACCGCCGCCACCGTTCGTCAGCTGGGTGACGGCGTCGCTGTCGCTGGAGGATGCCGTTGACGTCGAGGATGCAGCAGCAGCGGCTGCTGCTGCAGCGGCAGCAGCTGCGGCAGCCGAGGCGGCAACAGCGGCCGCTGCGGGCGTTGACGTCGCTGCCGCTGCCGCCGCAGCCGATTGATGGAAGTTGGAATTATTTGTCAACTGTTCCGAGCAGCGGACGCACGTGGGTATGCTGTAGCCGGGCACCTGGAAGAGCTGCAAGAGAGAAAGAAATGATCAAATCACAGGCAACAATTAGTTGGAAAGTCTGGTTGGATAGTTGGATGGACAGAAATGCAGAATGTAATAACAATAATGCTTTTTATTTATTGTGTCAGCCCAACCTTATTCACCCATCATCTACCCCCCTCTCCCCGCACTCCTGTCTCTCGAACTAGAAATAACAACCGAGAAGATAAACACACACACGCATGCACAAAAAATATAAAAAAAAGAACAGAGAAAAGAAAATAACAACAACATACATTCATAGCAAGTTGTTGTTGTTTTCATTTCGTGTTATTTTTTTTTTCTCTTCGTACAGCGTTTTGTTATTCTTTCGCTTTTTGTTTTGTTTTGCCGCCGCACTGCCAGCGCTCACAGCAGAGGCGTCCGCCAAAGGGGACGGTCGATATTTGAGGAATTCAGAAATCAAAACAGAATTATTTTATTTAAAGGAAAACTTTAGAAATTAAAAGGCACTATTTAATTGTATCAACTCCTTTGTCTTTTGAGTGCAACCCCTTTAAAACGAAAGCTCTACGACGTCACTGTCGCCTGGCTGCCTTGGCGCAATTTCTGTCATTTTGTTTTATTATGTATTTCTTTTCGTGCGGTTGATGTTGGTTGGGGAGGGGGGGCGCAGAGAAGGAGGGGGCAGAAGAAGAAGAAGAAGGGGAACTGTTGAAAAGGAGTCAAAGTGAAAAGCAAGCGGCGTAAGCAAAATGTAAAAATAATATTTTTTCAAGTTGTCGGCTTGAACAACTTTTTGGGCTGAGTTGGCTAAAAATAAAAATTGTTCAGCAATAGTTTGGGGTCGCATATGTGTATTTGTTTGTGTGTTGTTTTCGTCTCTGTGCCTCACTCTCCCTCTCTAGTTCTCTCTCTCTCTCTTTTTGAATGTGTGTGTGTGTGTGTGTATGCGAGCCGAACTTTTGCTTTTGCCTGGGAGTGAGAAAAAGAAGGCAATGCGCGCGCTTTTCAACCCCCACCCCACGTCCTTTTCCCACTCCCACTCCCCCCGTTCATCCATCTCACATCCTCTCATCGTCCCTCCCGTTTCAACAATAACAGTTGGAAAGCAGAATCCCTGGCAAAATTCAATTGTTTAAAAAAATCAATAGAAATAACAAAATACACACCACTGACAGTTTTGTTGCATACATGTGTGTATATCGTTTTTTTTTTCTTGTATTGTTGTTGTTTTGTTCTTACCGTTGCCGTTTGGAAGCATAATCTACAGATGGTGTCCATAATGTTGAAGAGAGAGTAAGAAGAATTGGTAGCAGTGGCGGCAGCGGGCGGGAGCAGGACAACGTGCGTTGCACGTCTGCAGTTCCTCTTATTGTTGTCTTGCAGTTGTTGTTGCTACTATTGCGGTTGTTTCTGTTGCTGTTGTCCTTCTCGCTCGCGAAGGAAGCGGCGACAGCGGTAAACTTTACCGGTGGTTATCCATTTACGCCTCCTTAGCTTTTTTTTTTCCTTATTTATAATTGTTGTTTTTATTATTTCGTTCTGTTCTATCTGTTCGGGTCTTTAGTTTTCATAAAATGATTTTACTTTTTTATGGCATTTTTTTTTCTTTGCCTAAGCACTTCGGCGCAAAAAAAAAAATTATAAATTTGATTTATACAATATTTTCGTTGTACACACACACAGGCATATGCATGCACGCACACACACACACAGCGGCCACTTCTTCTTGTTGTTGTTGTTGCTGTCACTTCTCTTCACCGTTGTTTATGTTTGCCTTGCACTTGCACATGCGGTGCTGTTGTTGTTGCTGCGCCGTTCTTTTTTTTGCAGCTTAATTCCTTGCCTTTTTGGCGTAGTTACACGTAAAAAAAAAACAACCAAACGCGCTGGAATCTTTTTCGTATTTTTTTTCTTCATTTACAATTCACGACGAAGTTGTGTCCGAACGTTTTTGGGGCCCGATGTTATTGTTGCGCTGCGTTCGAGTGTGTGTGTGTGTGTTGGGAAAAAACGAATATGAGGTTGTTGGATACCGTAACAGTAGCGGTGCTACTCCCACACATTGGTTAAGCGTATGCTCGCCTGCGCTATAGCCATCCCTCTTATTGAATTGAGTGGCAGCATTGCCCAACACTAGTCAGCGAGTGCGCAACAGCTGGGCGCGTTATTTGAATTTTCAAAAAGAAATTGAATTTAAAAATAAACTTTCAATTTTAACATTATTTTGTTGGGATAAATATACGTAACCGTTTACTATTGAGTACAAAAGCATACAAAAAACATAAATAAACAAGAATTTACATGAGTTAACATTACATACTTTACAAAATGGCATTAAAAACCACAAAACAAGGCAAAAACAATTAAATAAGGCTTACAATTTTCCATTTAAAAGGCTTAAATCATTAAATACAATAGACAAATGTCCAAAAGAACAAATTAAAGACCAGGAAAGCCAGTGGAAAAACGAATCTAGCCCGACTATCGATCCACATGGCGATTTCCTGCGGCGTCAATGTGGTCCAGCCACTCAGATCGATCTCCTCAGCCGCCGTGTCAGCCGGATGATTGTTGTTGTTGGTGGTGGTGGTGGCACATCCCTGCGATGTGGTCGATGCGGTACTAAGGGTTCCAACCGATCTGGCCGCACCCATTGGCCCAAAGGCGCTCTCCACAAAGGTGACATCCAGCTTTTGATGGCCGGATCTCGGATTTTGCTGCTGCTGCTGCTGGCCCAGAACTTGACCTTCTTTGATTGTGGTAATGGGCAGGTTGACGGTCAAATAATTGTTAAATCCTGGCCCACCGCCCAGCGAGGCGTTATCCCCGGTCCTGTGGAGGGCCATACCCGAAAAGGAGCGGGATCTGGCATGACTACTGCGGCGCCTCAGCAGATTTGGCGACAACGTGGACTTGAGGATATGCTTGCTATTAAGCTTCTTCACGGGCACACTGTTCTTTCGCCGCCAAATTGTATTGACAAAGGCAAATTCCACCATGCTGCCAAAGATGAAGATGGTGCAGCCCAGGAACCATACCTCCGACACCTTGATATAGCTCACCTTGGGCAGGGTTTTGCCCTGGGCCGAGGCCAAGGTGATAAAGGTCAGCAAAGTGCTGGTGCCCAGCGTGATTCTTGGCGGCGCCTGATCCGCCTGCAGCCAAAAGGAGACCCATGATATGGCCACAATCAGCATGGAGGGCAGAAAGTAGTCCATCAAATAGAAACCCACCACACGGGTGAGGTGTACGGTGAAGCTTAAAGAGCTGTAATTCCCGGCAAAGGCTCCATGCCGCAAATCACTGAGATCCGCATTAATTACGGTCTCATTGGACCAGGAGCTCTGCAGCACAAACTCGGTAAGATGGAGGGCAGGATCGTATGTAATCGGTCGCTTTTGTTCCCAGTGTAGCACCAGCTCCGATGTGTTGTACATCCAGCTCTCCAGCACCGTGGAGCAATGCTGCTCGTCAAAGGGGAACTTTTTGAGATTTAGCCAGCAATATAGAGTGGCCTTGATGCGGTTTGAGACGATGACAGTGCCGTCGGGGGAAATGGAGGTGAGGATGTCCTTTTCGGTAAGGCCTGCAAATGAAGTAAACCGGTTAATTGCCACATTTTTACACAGATTTTAAGACATCGTCAAATACTCACCCAAAATGCTGGAGTCCCTTTCATTGGCCAGGAATATGTGAGGCATCCAAAGGGAGTCCCGCAGCTGCTGTTCACCCAGAATGGGCTGCTTTCTCTTGGGGCTCACGCCTCGAAAATTCAGACGGGGATCCAAATAGCGCATCTGCAGGAGGGCATAGATCTTGAATTGCAGATCGTGGGCCTCTAGATTCTGCATAAAATAGATGTATGCCCGCATATAGACATCGACGGGCAGGCGCTGGCCGCTTTCCGAGAAGGTTACCGGGCGCTCCAAGCGATCGTAGCGGCAGCCATGGGTTAATTTATCAAGTAACTGCGTCTGCGACAAACTGTCGCCATCGGCCAGCGTTGGACAGTCCTCGTCCATGGCATGCACCGTTAGGGCAACGCAATTGAGCAGGATTTTAATAACCAGCGACCAGTCCATGGCCAATTGAATAAATTAAGTCTAAAAAAAGGGAAAAAGAGAAAAATAAAACCACGCGTATAAATTGTAACGGTTAAAGCAAGATGGCGATCCAGTGTTGGCCAACGTTTAAAAGCTTTACAGTCTGTTAACTTTAGCAGGGTAATGTAAGGTGACAGAACTGTGTAAATATCGCACGAAAATCGAAATATTTAAATCTAAAAAAATTCTGTTTAAACAAATTACAATATATAATACAAATAAAAACGTAATTAATTAATTATTTATTAATTTCTCATGGAAATTAGTTAAAAATTAGGGAAATTCTTGAAGCTTCTGCGCTTAACAGCACACAGCTTGCTTTACCTAACAGCCTGCTGTTAGTGGTTTCAAAAGGCGCCTAAAATTCAAATCAACAAAATAAATGCAAATATTTCTAAAATACTCTCAAGAAAATATGCATAAGATTGTGATAATAATCAAAACATATAATATTAACATTTAACTCAATTTATTATAATAATTTAGTTTACATGCTCCCAACAGCCCACTGTAAGACTAACAGTTGACTGTTAACTAGGCGCGCAAATTGAAATATTTAAAAAATTCCATAAAAAAAAACACCACCCATAATTAACATCTTTACACATTTAAGTTTTTATTGATTTTATTTTACTGCTGCACTTGTCATAAATATACAATTGGGGTATATTTCAACATTTACAAAGTTATGCAAGTTTTTTGTTTTTATTTTAATTTTCTTTTTTTTTTTTTGGTTTTGTTGTAGTTTTCTTTTGTAGTTCAAACATTTATTTAAATTTATGAATTCGAATTCATTGATAATATGTATGCATAGTTTTATTCCTCACTTCTTCGATTTTACGCTTATTATAATTACAAAAAAAAAAAAAAAAAACAATTACCTAGATTTAATATATATATATATATATTTTATATATATTCATGTGTGTTGCATATTTATGTCGTATTTTAGTACATATTTTGTAATTTTACTAAGCTTGATTTACGTATAAAATGTGTCTTGATTATGGTAAATGGGTATTGTGGATTATGTAGTTGCGTTTCTCGGACTCTGCTTACATACATTTAAAAAAGAATTTCACTATTTTTGTTTTGTTTTGCTTTGTTTCATATATTTGTTTATCTTTTGTTTTTATTCGTACACGTAGAAAGTGGAATTTCGAATATATCGAAGAGGGGAGAACACCTGTCTTTGAAAAGGGCAATGAGAGGCGGAAGCTGAGGTTAAACACAAATGTGGATTGTTTTTAGTACAAGATAATGGTTTAAAATATAAAATAGAAAGAAAATAAAAACATATAAAAAAGTTTTTAATTTATGGCACAATTTATTTATTATTTTCTTTAAATAATTATTTAATTTGCTTAATTAAACAAAAGAATAATTTATTATAAATATTATAAATAATAAATTATTATTTTATTTAATATCAATAATAATTAAAAGAAGGTCATTAAGTGTAAAGTACACAAGGAACTCCTTCATTATTAGCTATTTTCCCTTTTTTAATTAAAAAATAATATGTTAATCTTAATTAAATTTTAAAAAAATGTATTTTTATTTATTTTCCTTTTTTTTTTAATAATAAATATAAAATAATAATAATAATATATAAAAAATAATAATTTAAATAATAAAAAAAATAATGAAAAATAATACAAAAAGAATAAAAAAAATAATATAAAAATATTATACAAAAATAAAATAAATAAATTTTTGGTTACGTTTTTTTAATTATTTTTTTTATTAAAAAAAAGGAAATATTTTTCTTATTATTTAAAAAAAAAATAAAAATTATTAAGAAATTTAATTCAAAATGAAATGTTATTAAATTAGGCAATTAAATTATAATTATATATAATTATTACACTTTTTTTATAAATAAATAAAATGATCAAATTGTTGTATTATTTTTTTTATTTTTTTTGTTTTATTATTTTTCATTAATTTTATTATTATTATTATTATTTTTTATTATTTAAAAGAAAATAATAAAAATTATTATGAAATTGTTCGTAAATTTTATTACTTTTTTTATTTATTATTTTGTTTTTAAACTGAACTTCCTCTCTCTTTGCCCTTTTCTTGCCTGCTTTCCCTGCTGTTTTTTGTATTTTTTTTTTTAGGTTTTATTTTTTTTAATTGTTAATGTTTTTGTTCTCTGCTGCTTTCTGTACCTTCAACTACATTGACTAGTTGCTTACACTTCTGATTTGCTTAGGAGCTATGGAAATGTATCTTCGCCTCGGCTACAACATATATATATATATATATATATATATGTATGTATATATATATAAGCTACAATATATATTATGTACAGTGATAGTTCGACTTGGGCTACAATCTCTTTGGCTGGTCCAACGGGACGCCTTAAGTTTTTCTTTTCAATTACAAACACACTTATTAGACACACTCCTTTAAACACACTCCTTTAAACACACTCCCTCCTCACAAACACACTTACTTATCCCCAAAAAAAAAAAAAAACAACAACACACCCATTTAGACACACTAAAAAAAAATACATTACTTTACACACTAATTTCCGATTCGATCTAGGGTTTTAGGACTATGTCTAAGGCTAATCGCTAACTAATACTGCTCCCGCTGTGGAGATTCTGTGATTCTGTGATCCTTGTGTGCCTGTGCCCCGCCTTAGATGCGATCCTTCTCCGCATGCGTCTCCTGCAGCTCCAGTTCCGTTTCCTCGGCGAGTGTATAAACACCGGAGGCGGCGGCATTAGTGCCACCCGTGGGCGTGGTCAGGACATCGAGAAGGGGACTGCTTAGCGAGGAGTAACCCAGGCCAGAGTCGCTGCCATGGGCAATGCAACTGTTGCTGGGAGTGGTCACCACCATATCGCCAGGAGCAAGTATAGCCGACGAGGAGGAGGAAGAGGAGGCGACGGCGGGCGTATAGGCGGGGGCTGGGGTCAGGCGGGCACCATTCGGATCCATGGTCAAAATGGGCACCAGCTCGTGGTTGACATAGTCTTTCATTACCAGCGATGTGGGGGTGTCTGTGGGATTACAAAAATAAATCAATTAAAGATTAAAAAAACACTTGAAAAGCTTTCACTTACCTGTCACCAGGGTCTCTTCGGTGGGGTTGCGCTGGTAAAGATGCCCTCGCTTCTCGTAGTGTCAGGATGCCGGCACATAATACTGGCCACCCTCCTCGTGCGCCACATCCATCATGGAACTGCCAGGACCACCAGGACCACCTCCTACTCCACCACTGCCAGCGGCTACCGAATTGGCGGCACTCGTCTTCTTGAACTCTACAACAATGCGTATCCGGTGGACAATCTCCTCGTGTATAACATTGAAGCACATGGCCGTCAGCGTCATCCCAGACATTATGTAAACGGAACAGAACCAGGTGGTGGCATTCGATTCCCTACGCAGTCCCGGCAGCATATCACCAAACCCAATGGTCGACAGGCTCATAAAACAAAAGTAGATGCCATCCAGAATGGGCCAGTTCTCCAGGCGATATAGAACCGCGGCTCCAAACACTATATAGATGATCATCATGGAGAAGCAGAGCAGGATGGGCGCCAGGATACTCAAGCCATGCATCGATCCCCTGGACTCGCTGGCACTCAGCGAATCAATGTCACCCAATCCACCACCACCCACCGTTGCCGCCGATGGTGGATCACCGCCGCCAGCCTCCTTTTCGGGCGTGGCATGGTACACATCCCGGACATAGTAGGGCTCCTGCATCACCGCCTGCTGCTTCCTCAGCTCCTCCTGCTGCCGCTTCCGTCGCATTCGGCGCTCCTTCTCCGCCATCCGCTTCTCGTCGTAGCAACAGTAGCCACAGTTGGAGCACAGGCAGCAGCACAGCGCCTTGGAGAAGACCTCGCGAGCCACACGGGCCAGAATGCTGCCCGTGCTGCTCAGGTAGACGAGGGTCAGTGGTATGCCAAAGAAGGCATAGGCAAGGGTGACAATCCGGCCGAGAGTAGTCCGGGGTGCAATGTTTCCATAGCCTAAAAGAGGGGGGAGGAAACAAAGAAAGAGAAGGGGTTAATAAATGGAAAGAAAACCAGGTGATATTATTTTTTAGAATTTTAAGAAATTATTTAGTTACTTTTAGTGTAAGTAACTATGTAATAGCACATATTTAATAGCACGCATTTTATTATATATAATTAATAGTCACAAATATGTATAAACACACACATGTACTCGTCTTCATTCCAGCAATGCTAGAACCAGTTGGGAATTATATGTGCACACGTGTGAGATTTTTCGGCACCACATATTTGGGGGGGTGGAATTCGCTATGGTTTTATGAAAAATTTACCAGCAAAAACAATTTTTCTTAAATTATATTTTTCTTAAATATAAATAAAATATATTTCACTTAAGTATAAAAATATATATTTTACTTAAATATAGAAAAATATATTTTTGAACGAATATGAGATATTTCTCATAAATGTATTTTCTCATAAATATATATTTTCTTATATTTATTATTATTTTGTTTATTTAATTTTAATTATTTTTTTTTTATTAATTTATTATAACTTTCACATTGCATTTACCCTGAATGTTTCTACTTAATATTTTTATATTAAAATATATACCCCCCCATTAAGATTTATATTTTATTTCCTTTCTTTTTTTCTCCTTCTTTTTTTTTTGGTTTTCCCACATTAATTTGGCAAAAGTCAATTTGTGCGTTTTCCCCGAGAGAGGCCGACTTATTGACATTACCCAAATGAGCCGTAACTTCACATATAATCCCCATTTCCCTTTTACCCCCACCCCACACACACACACACTCCGCCCATGTTGTAAAGGCCACTAAAAATAATTAAGCTGGCAGAGGCAATAAAAATGCTTAACAAGCTTAAGGCCGGAAATTCCCTAAGGAAGGTAAAAAAAATATACAAAAAAAAAAAGGAAAATAAAAATAAAAATGTGGGCGGGCATTGGGAACAATTGAGCAGGTGGGCGTGACCCACACACACGCACACACACATGATGGCTGGCAGGTGTGTCATGCATAAATTTGAAAATTTCTTAATTTTATTGTTTTCTTTTTGCTCTGACGGCGGTTTTGCAATATATAAACATATATATATATTTTTTTTATTTGTGCGTGGGCGTGGTTTATTGGTTCTCCTATTTCTGTTTCTTTTTTCTCCCCCCTCCCTCCCCTTTAGCTTTTTTTATTGAACACAAATGTTGCCTGTAAGTGAGTCATTTGAGATTGAGGTGGCTGGGAGGAAGTCGCAGGAGCAAATGAATCGAATCAATATGGGGATATCACATGTGGCAGGGCTCAAGTGCCTCCGGCTCCTGTCATTTTCACAAAAGTGGGGAAAGTACCGAGGAGTACGAGGGAAAGTGCACAGGAAGAAATTTTATAAACTAGAAATTCTAGGGTTTTGAGATTCCTTAAAAAATTCAAAACATCCGAAATTTCGAGGAGTTTGAACCCCTTAAAAAGGTGTTTAATTAAATTAAATTAAATTATTTTTAATTATTTTGAATTTTTTAAAATAATTTTAAATTATTTGAACCTATTTGAAATTATTTGAAATTATTTTGAAATTATTTGAAATTATTTTGAAATTATTTGAAATTATTTTAAGTTACTTGAAATTATTTGAAATATTTTAAAATTATTTGAAATTTTTTGAAATTATTTAAAATTTTTTGAAATTATTTGAAATTTTTGAAAATTATTTGAAATTATTTTAAATTATTAGAAATTATTTGAAATTATTTGAAATTATTTGAAATTATTTGAAATTATTTGAAATTATTTGAAATTATTTAAAATTATTTGAAATTATTTGAACTTTTATTAAAAATTATTTGAAATTATTTATAATTATTTAAAATTATTTTAAGTTATTTGAAATTATTTGAAATTGTTTAAAATTATTTGAAATTATATGAAATTTTTTTAAATTATTTTAAGTTATTTGAAATTATTTGAAATTATTTACAATTATTTTAAATTTTTTGAAATTATTTGAAATTATTTAAAATTATTATAAAAATATTATAAATTGTTTTAAATTATTTTAAATTATTTTAAGAACTTTCAACTTCGTGTCTTTTGAATTTACTAACACATTTATTCTCAGTGCTTTTGAAAATGTACACTTGGCTTAGAAGCTGCAACAGTGAAGCTGAAACAGGAAGCGGATTTCGGGGACAACCTTGGCAACCATGTAATTGCGTTGACAGCAAATTTAAATGAAATCCATCCCCCGCCCCCGGCCGACAGCCGAAATGTCAATGTGTCACAAAGCAGACGACAGCTCAGCACACCCCCTACTCCTTTCTTCCCAAAAAAAAAAATATATATATATCCTATATGTCGATTCTATGCCCCCCGGAACAGTGGTTCCATTGTCAGGCATAAATCAATCCTGGCCAAGATTTTCGCCAGCATTTTCCTGATTTATTTGCACCACTGTGCTCCCCCCACTCCCCCCTCTCCAAAAGGGGGCGTGGCAAGGAGGGGGGGGCCCTTGCAAATCCCACAACCCATGGCTAATAATATTGCCATTGACCCGACTCGAGGGGGCTGTAAAACTCAGCTGGCGCGCTGTCAATTTGCCGGGATATCGGGGCTACTCAGAAGGAACTCGCAAGGATAACGAGGCCGGGAAACGCGGGAAAGGGAGCAGGGGGATGGGGATTGAAGGCAGGCATCTACATATTTTATTGAAAGATATTGAAAGATTTCAATATTGAGAAGACCCCAAAGCAGAAGGGCACAGGCACACACACACATGGGCGCTAAATGGTTGGAACTTTGGAGGTTTCAAGAGCTGAAAAAAAGGCTTTTGGTAATTGAAATATATAAGGGTTTGATGTTATTTTTAATATTAAGAAAAGAGCAGGATATTTTTTCAAGGTAAATAATTTAATAAATTAATTTTAGCCTCCAAAAGAAATATTTATTTCAAGAAATTAAAGAAAATGAAAGATAAATTTGATTTTTTGTTAAGACTTTCCATCCAGAAATATTATTTTAAATATTTTAGAAGTAGCTTTATTTAAATTATAATATTTTATAATTTAAAAGTTAATATATTAATTGACAACTTTACTATTTCTATAAATTTACCCCCCAAAAAAGGATTTTAAAAACTAAACAAATGCTTTTTAAATTTCTTTTATTTATAACTACCATCTCTAGGTATTCCGATAACCCAAGAGCATTAAGAAAATCAACTCAAACACATTTAACCATTACAATTCCGATCACAAAAGTCGATTATTCTGCTTGCCATTACAACTTCAATTACCGACTGCCCTAGAGGTCTGCCTTTCTCAACGATATAGATATATATCGCTCTCTATCGAAATGCAAATAAATCGTGGCATTATTTGGGGATGGGGCTAAGCCGATAGGCAAGTGAATTATTTATCGAATATGCGTGCGGGCAAGTAAATACAATTACCCTCTCGCAACTTGAACCACACGCTCGCGCCATAAACAACTAGGCCTAATCTGCCTTCGACTCCGTTTATCCCTGGCTCATTGAGGTCCATTTATATATACATACAATATATATACATATATATATCGATGGTCCACACATAACACAAAATGGCGGGGCATAAAACCGAATCGCTGGGCCCCCAAAGATGCGCAATTGATGATAGTGACTACAGGACTACAAGGACCAGGGACCAGGGACTCTGCTGCAAATGGAACTCAGTTTTCTCCCTCTTCGGTTGTGTGTGTGAAAATGGAAAATGAAATTTAAAATTATTTTGCAACTAAATTACTTGTCTTATTGCTGTCCAGGGGATTGGCCCGATCCCGATCCGGGCTCTCCTATTTATTGTGCCCAGCGACAGGCCCAAGGAACTCGTGGAAGGAAGGAGCCTGGCCGCCTATAAATTCGCATTTATGCCCAAGACAACTCACGCCACAGCCAAAGGGGGGTATATATCTCAACTTGGCGATACCCTGGGGCTAACAATAATATATTACTTTTGATGCTTAAAAGTATTTTTAAATATTTTTTAAAGATATTTTCAGATATTTTCTGACATATTTATTTCAGAAATAAAATTTTACATGTTATTCACGAAATTTATATTTATATAAAATATATTTTTAAATATTTTGTGACATATTTATTTAAGGAAATATGTTTAAAATTTATATTTATTTAATATATATTTTTTGATATATTTTCTGATATATTTACTTAAGAAAATATATATAAAATTTTATTGAGAAAATTAATATTTATTTAAAATATATTTTTAAATATTTTCTGGCATTTATATTTATTTAAAATATATTTTAAAATATTTTCTGACATTTTTTTTAAGAAAAGAAATTTAAAAATTAATTGAGGAAATTTATATTTATTTAAAATATTTTTTTTTTAGATATTTGTTGATATATTTACTTAAGAAAAGATATTTAAAATTTTGAAATTTTTGTTTATATTTTTTGAGATATTTTAATTTGTTGTATATTAAGTTTTAAGCGTAAAGTTACTTAGATTTTTTATTTATAAAATATCACCCTTAATTTTAAAACAAATTGTGTAGAGCAAAATATTTTTTAAAAATTGTTTTGGTGATAGAAATTACATTTACTAAAAACAGATTTTTAAGTTCTCTTAAAAAAGTGCCTGAAAATATCTAAGGAGGTATTTTTTAAGGGTTTTTTGGGCGTCAAAAACGATTTTTTTATGTGAAAAAATAAGTTGATATTTTATAATACAGATTGAATTTTTTTTAGATATTAAAGAACCTCAAAAAACTCTAAATAGGTGAATTTTTTAAGGTACTTTAATATTTTTGTAATATTTACCAAATTTCTTCCTTAAAATTTCACTATAAAAATTTATTATATATTTGTGGAAAATTAAGTAGAATTTTTATAATATTGAATTACAGATTTAGTTTTTCGTAATATTAAAAAATAATATTAAAAAATTCTAAATAGGTGAAAAATGAAAAAAAAAGTAGAAATAAGTACATTTTTTCTTAAAAATTTTTTGTAATATTTAACTAATTTCTTTCTTAAAATTTCTATTAAAAAAACGTTCACTATAAAAAAATATATTATTTATTTGGTAAAATAAGCAACTAAATTTTTTTTTAATATTAAAAAACCTTATAAAATTCACCTATTTACATTTCGTAATATTTACCTATTTTCTTTCTTAAAAATTTCTATAAAAACTCAACTATTTACTTTAATTTTAATTAAACAAAACACCCTGCAAGAGCACCAACTACTTTAGAGGGTAACCTGGACATGGAGCAGGGAGCTGGTAGCTTGGAACCACTGCATCCGAGTATATTCAAGTGGCTTAGGTCCTTCTCTGGCCAGAAGCACGGACCAATAATCATAATCATATTGTTTGGGATGCCCGGCCAAGAACAATGAAGACCTGCTCTCTCGCCTTCCTGGCCAAAAATACAACACAACCCACAAAAACAATAATAATAATAATAATAATAATAATAAGCAAGGACAAGGACGAGGATGAGGACGAGGACGAGGCGTGGGTGGCGGCAGGATGTCATGTTAATACAAATGTCCTAGCAGTCTGCTGACTAACGCAATTGCAAACTGCCCCGCCCCCATTTGGCTCCCATTTTTATGCATTTGCAAAGCAACAACAAAGACCAGAAGGACATGGAAATGGTAATGATGGGTGGGTGTCCCTTTCCTGGTCCTATATATTTGCTTTCTGGCCTTTTTTTTGGGCATGAACTGCCAAGATCAGCAGAAAATTTTTGCAAATTTTATTTTATAGCATTTTCACAAGTGGAAAGTCGTGTCGATGTAAGCCACACACACACAGAGACACAAATATGTATACAGATACAGATAGGTTTGGGTTCATATAAATTCCTAGAAGTAAACACAGGAGAAAAAAAACCACTTGAAATATTATAATAAATATTTTTGTATTGAATTTAGGCCTTAAATGGGGCTTAATTATTGAGAAATAATTTCTGTTATATTTTTTTAAATATATTTTTAAGCATTTTCTGTGTTATGTGCTTAAGAAATGGTCTTGAGTTAATTTTAATGGCTGCAAAATAGTTTTTCTAACAATATATTTAATAGTGAAAAACTTGGAAATATATAAATTAAGAGATGAAAAAAAGGTTTAATAACTTCTAAAATAATTTTAAATAATTTTTAATGATTAATTTACAAACAAAACAAGAAATTGTGTGTTTATTGAGGAACTTAAAAGCCTTAAAAATTATTAAAAACCCTATAAAATATTAAAAGCCTTATAAATTATTAAAAGCCTTAAAAATTATTAAAAGCCTTAAAAACTATTTAAATCCTTATAAATGATTAAAGTCCTTATAGATTATTTAAATTCTTAAAATTATTAAAAGCCTTAAAAATGATCAAAAAGCTTATAAAATTATTAAAATCCTTATAAACTATTAAAATCCCAATAAATTATTTTAATCCTTATAAACTATTAAGACATTTTTCGCTGATTTGTGTAAGCAAATATATTGCAGAATATATTTTTATTGTGAAAAACTTTGAAAATATAAAAAAAAAAATAAACAAGAAAATTCTTAAATAATATTTTAAGAATTTTAAAATATTTTTTCTTGATGAAACTCTCTAAATTTTGAATTAAAAGTCTTAAAAAATATTTTAATTTATTACAAAGCTCTTTTAACCCCTTTAAAAATATCAATATGAACAATTTTTTAAAATATAAACAAAAATATAAACAAAAAAAATAAAGTTGATTGATAGAAAACAAGTTTAATTTTAAATTGAATTCCTAGAAACTAAGTTTTTAATTAAAATAAATAATACAAACACTTTTTAAAAATCTTAAAATATTTTAAAACAATTTTCTTTAAATAAAAAATACTACACACTTATTTCTTAAAGTGTACCCCTGCACTTGTGTGCGTGTGAGTGCTGATTTGCGTGTATTTGTGCCTTGGCCATTCGGGCTAAGCAAATAGCTTCGTTTGTTGTTTTGCTCTATCAATATTTGACTTTCGGCTTGCTTTTTTGTCTCTTTTTTTTTTTTTTTTATTTTTTTTTTTTTAGGGTGAGCCTACGAAATTACCGTCCAAATATACAGGCGGCCGTGTGAGAGGGGAGGAAAAACGCACACGGCAGCGGCATTCGTCGTTGAAATTTTCCTGGGAACTGACAACTGGCAACAAAGCTCAGAAAATCGAGAAAAGGTATGGTGGCTGGGGGGAAAAGCCTGGATGGATGTGTGTTGAATGTTTGGGCTTAAAAGTTTTCCCTCCACAAACCAATATTTAAAATTGGGCAGGACATTTCCTGGGGAGAAGCTCCATAGCCTGCTCCTCAAGGGGTCGGCATCCCTGCTGACAAATGCCAATTGAGAAATCCTCGACAGAGTCAGCAATCGCAGACTTATCGAATTAATTTGTATTTTTTTTTTTGGGTAATTGAAAGGGCCAAGGCTCGAAAATCGATGACAGGGATTTGGGGTCATCGAAATCTAGGCGATATTGAAAATATAACGATTTTAAATTGGGTTTTTAAAAGGCCTAAGCTATAATTTATTAGTTTTTCAAAACTTTAGGGTTTTGGGTTCGATATAAATCGATAAATAATCGTTATGTGCCAGGAATAACTCCAAAAGTTTACTAAAAAAAGAAAATAAATTACAGTGAGCCTAAAAATTATTTGTTAGCCTTGTAACTCTTTTCATATTTAAAACTTTGTTTAGATTTTAGTGGATCCTTGTTAGTCAATCGATAAATAATCGTTTTATACCAGCTAAAGGAGGAGCTTCCCATATTAGACTTTCTCTTTTGTTAAAACTTTGGATTTTTCTAGATTGTCTTTCATAGTTTAGTAGTTTATTTAAAGACACTTGTTAGCCAATCGATAAATAATCGTTTTATGCCATCGATAACACTTTAGCTACCCGTAAAGCAGCTCGAATTACACCCTGTGCGTTATGCAAACCTGCATCCTGCATATGGCCATGGTAACCTCATCATCCCCATCATCATCATCGTCGTTATCATCCTCGGCATCACCAACAAGAGCCCCACATTTAGCACCCGGTTTTTGCACACAATTTTAGACCCCGTTTAGCTGGCAGTTTTACTCAGTTTTTCGTGCTTTTTAGCCACCTCAGCCTCCGCCCCCCTGCCCCTCTCCTCATCAGTTGCCATCAACAACAGCAGTGGGTCCAGGCCCAAAATGCACTCATGCGATGGTGTCAAAAGGTGTACGGGTCATGCTCATGGCCTTTACCCGTTCTCACCTTTACATGCACTGAGAAAAACCAGGGAGTAAGTCTTTGAAACTTGACTTTAAATATTTAAATAAATAAAAGATCTAAGAAAAGTTTCAAATTAATAACTTTAAATGTTAAATTGTTTAATTTTAAAGACTTTTTATAGATATTTTCCATCTAAAAATAAAGCTCTCATTAACTGGTTAATTTTAAATTGATTTATATTTAAATTTACATTTAAAAATATTCATAAAAAATGTTGTGAAAGCTTTTCAAGGCAAATAAAGTTATAAAACATTAAGTTTTAAGAAAGGAAAAATCTCTAAAAAATCGAATAAATGTATATTTCATTTATTCGATTTTAGAGATTTTTTTCTTCTCAAAAAAGTGCAGTTTTATAAATTAAAACCTTAAAACCTCCCCCCATTTTGTTGAGTGTACCCTCCCTTTTAGGCTGCTATTGCCTTTGGTATACTGCAAACAAGAGCGCACTCATTCGCCATTCAAGTAAAACAAATTTCCGTTGCTGGAACATCAAATTTATGGCCCACAGCCAAGCCAGCCATAGCAGGGCCATTGTTTCTATGTTTTTTTTTTGTATATGGGTGTGTGTGTGTGTGTGTGTTGGTGTCCCTTTTACCCACTACCCCAGGATAGCTATGATGCTATAGAGATGGCAGAAGGAGAAGAAGTAAAAGAAGGCCACTGGGCACTTACCAATTGTGGTCAAAACGGTCAGCGAATACAAAAACGCTTTGGCAAAATTCCATTCGTGCGGCGGACCACCGCCCACGGTTACGCCTCCAACGCCACCGGCGCGATGATGATGATAGTGTGTGTGAAGGAGCACGGCTTCAGTGGCCGGATTGTTGTTGTTGCTGCTGCTACCAGAGGCGGAGGATGAGGGGGCATTGCTGTTGGCATTGGCCACATCGTCGTGCGATAATTGCAGCATAACATCCTCGTTCAGTCTCTTGATTAATTGGTCTTGAAACTTGGCTATTTCAAGTGCGGCTAATCTGTAGGATAGAAGAGGGAGAAGAATAGGGGGAGGGGTAGAGTTAGAGAAAGAAAGATAGACAAAGAAAGTTATAACATGAAGTAGGCATGAAATCAAGTATACGCCCCGTTTATTAAGCATACGCCCTGTGTGCTTGGGCTATTTGACTTATAGACTAAGTATTAGAGCATTTCTTGAGGTAAAAAATACTAAAATAATAAAATTTTTAATTGGAGGGATAAACAATTCTAAAAATAGAGCATTAAACATAATTTTAATTTAATTTTCAAACTGAAAATGTGATGAGATGGTTTCTAGATAAAGCTCTTTATATTTACTAAAGAATTTTGTGTAATAAGATTTAAATTAAATTGATTCAGAATTTAACTAATTAAACATTTAAATATATTTTAATTTACCAACATTTTAAATTAAATTTAAAATATTTTTTTTTCTTACTTTGTCCAATTCTCCTTGTACAGAATATTGAGCGATACAGTTATGTCCCAGATATTCTCAATGGTCCGCTGACGCACATCATAAGTGTCCGGCGAGAGGGCAAACTGTGGCATTCCGCCAGAGTCCAGATCGGCATCTTCTACGCCATAGACAAAGTCACCGCCAAAGGGTCCACCAACACCACCTCCAACACCAACACCACTTGCTGTTCCGGTGCCCGAGATCATTCCCTGGGCGGCCACAGCGGCGGTTATCGTATCGTTGTCCCCATGATGTCCCGTTGACTGGTGCGGCGTCCTCTGTTGCTGCTGCTGCTGGTGCAGGTTGTGCTGCTGCTGCTGCTGCTGTTGCTGTTGCTGATAGATGCTGTTCCCTGTATTGGCCATATTACGCTTGGTGCTGGCCAGTGTGTGCTGCTGATGCAGCAAAGCCGAGTCCTCGTTTTCAATGGTCAGGAAGATGAAGGAGCCTGCGACAAGAGCCAAAACGAAGCAGAGTTACACAGCGAGAAAAAATATATACATATTAAAAGCAAGGAAAATATTTATTTTAAATTAAAAGGTATATTTGTGTGTAGAAATTTTCTAATATTTAAATTTAAAATTTGATTTAAATTTTAAATGCTTTAAATTTGTTTGTAATTTTTCTCTCTGTTTATCCTTGCTGTTCCTGTTTCCCCCTTATGCAAAATATGAACTCTACCGTTATTTCATTTGCTTGTTGGCAAGAAAGGATGCTGCTGCAAGCAGGTTCTCAGTGGCTTAGAGCCAGGGGAAACTGCAGCAGGAAGATAGCCTAGGACCGAGCATAAAGCATCTTGAAGGTGTTGCAATCGCTCTCCCTGCCAGCTTAAGGGCTTCCTGCTTTTTGGGGAACACCTTGTTGAAAGGGCCAAGGAGCACATACTCCTTTCTAACCAAGTCCTTGACGATTTTGAGGAATTTAAACTGGCAAAAATATGTACAAAAAATGTATTCCAAGTCAACTTGACATATAAATATTTTTATTTTCATTTTTTTTTGGACAACAAAAATTTATAAAAAATTAAATTTTATCTAAAGTTGAGTGGGAATTTAATTATTTGCTATTTTTTTTAGCTTGCTATTAAAATAAATTAAAAACTGAGCTTTTAAGGTTATTTCTTTCTTTTTCTTTAAAAATATTCTTGGAAAAATTGTATAAAAATTTATTTCTATTAAAATTTGAGTGAAAAAGTATTTATTTTGTATTTTTACATTTATTTTTAACACCTTTCTATTAAAATAAATTAAAAACCTCACTTTATAAGCTTATTTTAATTTATAAAAAAAATTTTTCTTTTTTTCCTTAAAAATTTTTTTAAAAAAGTTTATTAATTTGATAAATAAATCCTTTTAAAGCCACTACAAAAATTCTTTAAAATTCTTTTAACCTAAAAAAAGATTTTAAAAATTACTACTTTTAATTTTAAGAATTTTCCGCCTTAAAAATGTATTAAAAAAATACTTTTTCCAAGCTAAATAAAGTCTTAAATGAATACCCTGTCATGTCAAGTATTTTTCCCTTTTATGTCCTTCCATTCATGTCCTTTTATTCAAGTTTCTAGCTTCGGGACCTTTTTCCCACTTACACTTTTCCCCCAAATCGATACAAAGTCCTTCCGCCATCCGTGTTGATTCCTGTCACTCATTTAATGTTAATGCTCCGCCAACTAATACACACATGTCACACATTTTGTCAAGTTTTTGAAAAGTTTTTTTCGCCAGCCTTCGGACAAAGTTGCCATTTATTTATTTATTTTTGTTGTTGTTTTCTTGCCAGTTGGCTGAGAATGATGTTGAGCGTATGCGAAATGATGAGTTGATGTCCTCGCCGAAAGCCAACACATGTCAAAGTTAAAAATAATACAGGACCATGTCGCAGGGCATGCCAAGATGATGGCCTCCAGGACACAAAGCTGAAGGCCTGACATATCCGCTTGGCACTGTTCATGCTCTGCTTTTCGTCCCGGAAAAAAAAGATTTATTGATGGAGGGGAAGGAAATGTGTTGGTGTTAATAGTGGGTTTGTTTAACTATTTATTTCTGAGTAGCTTTTGCCTTGTTTTTTTTTGGGTTTTATTGATTTAAATATTGTAATTTTAAAACTTTGGATTTTTGCTACTTTTAGTGTTTTGGTATATATTTATTTTATATATTTATTATATTATATTATATATTATATTTTATATTTTATATTTATATATTTATGTTAAGGGACACTTGATTGTTTTTAATTCCTCCCCGCAGACTTGGCTGAGATTCATCGCTAATTAATTCCTTCGATTGTAGAGATTTTTGTTGTTTTTGCATGATTATAATATGAGCTTCCACATTTTCAGCGAAATTATGCATTTTCGCGGGGTCATCCAGATGGACACGTCACAGGTAGGCACGAGGAGAGGGAGAGAGGCGCGCACCAGAGGGGCCTATAATTATAGGTAGCTAGAGGGAGAGAGGTTGATCGAGTGAGCTAGAGTTAAGCGACACACACACGCACTAGCGTCCGAAAGCGTAGGTGAGAGCAGAGATAAGAGCAGAGCCCAGAGCAGAAGCCCAGAGCAGAGCCCAGAGCAGAGATGAGAGCAGAGCAGAGAGCGAAGCTTATAAGCGAGCTGATAATTTCTGAGCAACGAACACACACATAAACACACACTGCTTGTACGAGAGCGCGCACACTGAGCGCTGAGCTAAGCTTATCAGCTCTGCTCTGAGCTCTGCTCTCAGCTCTACTCACAGCTACGCTTGCATCTCTGCTCTCACCTACGCTTTCAGACGCTAGTGCGTGTGTGTGTCGCTTAACTCTAGCTCACTCGATCAACCTCTCTCTCTCGATCAAGTACCTATTAATACAATTGCCTCTGCCGCCGCACCTTCAGTTAGTGCGCGCCTCTCCCTCCCCTCGTGTCTACCTCTGACGTGTACCATCTCGCGAAAAAGTGCCGATTCACTGGAAAAGTGCAAATTCTTTTAACAATTATGCAATTATGAATCTGAATAAAGCCTGCGGAGTAACGATGAAGGGTAACTGAGCGCGTGCTTCTCCCCTCGTGCCTACCAATTGCGTGTGCCTCTCAAGCCATCTAAAAGACCCCTGGAATAGTACCGCTTCACTGGAAAACTGCAAATTCTTTTAACACTCGTGCAAAATAGCCCACAAATCATTGCAAGCGAATGAAATAATCATTGATGAATCTGAACCAAGCCAGCGGACAAAAGATAAAGGGTATCAGAGGGCGCCTTCCTCCCCTCGAGTTCACCTGTCACGTGTGCAATGCCAGCGTCGTATGAATGGCCGCTGAAAAGTACTAATTCGATGAAATTGTGACAGTTTTAATAATAATTGTGCAAAACCACCAAGAATACATGGAATCGAAGGCCCAAAAAAGGGCAAAAACAACAAAAATCTCTGCAATCGAAGGAATTAAATACCGTTGAAGCGTTGCCAAGCCTGCGGGAAGAAAATGAAGATAACCAAATGTGCTCTAACTGCAGGTAAGTCGAACCAAAACTATTATCCTATTATATGTACCTATTATACAAACATAAAGCAACGGATCGGGTTTAGAAAACGTAGTGCTAAGCTTCGTTTTGGTTATTACAGGGTATATTTTAATAAATATATGGTTTTACATTTTGAAGAAATATTTTTTTTTTCAAATTTGAAGTTATCTAGTTTTTCGTTGCCTACTTTTTACGGCGTTAATGGGGCTTTGTCTCTTACACTTAATTTTTTATATATATATTTTTTTTATTATTAAATATCTTCTTCAATTTAATTTAATATCATTTTTTTTATGTTATTCTTAACTAACCTTAACCTTTACACGATATATTTTTGTTGTTCTAAGAACCTTTTCTCAACTTGTAACTTTCATCAGAGCGTAAAAGCGTTCTTGAATGGGTTGAGGAAAGCTTTTACAACAACAACAAAATGAATACATATAAAATAAAGCAAAAAGTGTGCATGTGCGTGTGTGTAAAAGTCATCTGTCATGCGTATGCGTGTTTATGGTGTGACGTCATGGGGACTCACGCACCGCCTAGCGAAAGTTAAATAATTGTTTGTGTCATTTTGATGATTTCCTCCTAACAAGGGACAACTTTTTCGACCAGCTGTTGTCGCACACGCACACATGCCAGCGAATTTTTCGATTTGTTTAAAGTATTTCACAAAAAACGCACACACACACATGTGTGTGTTGCTGCTGCTGCTGCGGTGTTGCTGTTGCTGGTAATGTTGCTGCCACTGCTGCTACTGCTGTTGCTGCTGTGTCTCCCAGCCAGCGCTGCTTGTCAAAGCAGCCGTCGCCGCCAGAGAATCGGAGGAGTTGGAGGAAAAACGAGGAATGGAAAAGGATTTCCGGTTAGGGATACGGAAAACGGATACGGATATGGATACAAAGAGTTCGCGTCAATGGTTGCTTTTGGTTTTCTAATAATTTTTATAATATTTAACAGTGATTTTAATGAATTTTAATTTGTAAATTAATTTATTAATCATTTTTCGATTCAGATTTTAGTTAAAAATTTTTAAACAAAAATTAATTAAAAAAAAAAAAATGAAAATTTTTATATTTAAATATTAAAAAAAGAAAACCTTAATTCTGAAAATTTCTATATTTATTTTAAAATTCTCTAAATTAATTTAAATATGTAAATTAAAATTTTTTTTAATTAAAAAAAAATTAAAAATGATAAATAAAAATTAATTTTGAATAAAAATTAAAATTTTTATATTTAAATAAAAATGAACCCTTAATTTTCATCATTTCTACATTTAATTTAAAATTTTAACAGTTAATTTTTAATTAATTTAATTAATTTAATTTTCATCATTTCTACATTTAATTTAAAATTTTAACAGTTAATTTTTAATAGTAAATTAATCTTTAAAGATTTAACTAAAAATTTTTAAAGAAAAATTAAAATTCTTAAATAAAAATTTAAATACAATTAAAAAAATAAATAACTAAAACCATTGTAATTTTCTGACGCTCACTGTACCCTAGATAACACACACACTTTGACAGGAGATCGGCGGTGTGTGGCAGGGTAAAACATAAGTTTTTGGCGCTGCGGCCGCCATTTTGACGTTTGTTTTTGGCATCGAGTGGGAGGGGGGGTTTCTTCTTTTTTTTGGGGGGAGGTGTGGGGGGCAACGAATGATTAATTAAATTTATCACGTTGTCGTGCGGCGGCGGTGGCGGCTTTGGCTGCGTTCCACCCAGTTCCTGTTGTTGGTTAATTTAAACGTCGAACTCTGTGACAAGATACATTAAGCATCCTTGTATCGTCCGTGTCCCAAACAGTAAGCGTATCGACTAGTGTAAACGTATACCATACACAGGAAATAATTTTTATAATTAAAGCCAACCATTTAATTTAAGATACTTGACATTTATGGGATATTTTTGAGTTTATAAATATTTCTAATAAAGATTTCTTTATGTTTAAAATTTAATTATTTAATTTTCTTAAAGTCAAAACCCTTAATATCCATCCAGTGTATCCCCTTATCCGTATCTGTAAATGTATCTGTATCTGTGTCTGACACGCGTGCCGCAAAAAAGAGCAAACGAAACGAAGCGAAGCGAACGCGTGGCCGAAAGAAGATGCCGCGTTAATTAGGGAGGCCGCAGCAATGAGATGGCATCCACAGACATTGGATACAAATGATATGTGAGTGCCTGTCACGCACAGTACTGTCAATTTACCTATTTATGTCTATATATATGTACCAAGATGTATGGTGTATATATATAGATGTAATTATGGACCTGCAACTGGCGGAAATTGTAGCTATTTTGGCAGTACTCAACGCAAAACCCTTTAGGCCCTCAAAGGGCGGAAGCCTACTAATGGCTGAGGAGGGTCCTAAGGCTGTTGTCAGAAATTAAAGACTTGTTCTTGTGCCTGTCTTTAATTATTTAAAGTTTGGGATTCTTTTTTATTTCAAAAATATCAAAGGGATAAAGGATAAGCATACTAATTATTACTTGATTTTTGTGATAATTATTTGGTATTCGATATTTTCGATAGCCGATATATTCTAAATCTAAAGCCTTATAGTTTATATATTTTTTTATTTGAAAACCTGAAACATTTTTAGCCAAAAATAATTGAAAAGTCATCGATTTTTCCCCCAAAAAAACAACTTGTTTACAGGACCGGTATATTCATATGCTCTCGATAAATAATTTTTATATTTTCAATAACTTTTTAAACAGATTTTCATGCCGAAAAAAAAGTTAAGTTAAGAACAGCAGCAGTGTTAACTTTTAACAGATTTATTCTCCCAAAACATCACTTTGTTATACAAGTAAATGTTCAAAATAAATAAAAAAAATCGATAATTTTCCATAATTTCGATATTTGTAACCGATTTCAAGCCTTAAAACAAAAACTCACCTAGCAATGTGTAAGCCAAGAGCAGCATACATATCCCCAAATTGGTGAGCAGGGCCGACCACACCGTCTGGGAGGTGCCCTTGCGCTTCTTTTTGGTGCCCTCCTTGGTGCCATATCCTGGCGGGGTTTTACCCTCGCTGCCGGAGGAGGAGGAGCTGCTGCCCCCAGAGCCAGAGCCACCTCCCCCGAAGCAAGAGCACCAACCGTTTCGCTTACGTTGCCGCTGCTGTTGCTGCTGTTGATGCTGTTGCTGCTGCTGCTGCTGATGCTGCTGTTGCAGCTGGTGTTGCACCTGTGCCTGCGCCTGAATGGATGCTGCCTGCGGATGGGCCGGCGGCAGTGGTTCCTTACGGTTCGGCGGCGTACTGCTGCTGCTGCTGCTCAACAGCTGCAGCGGCAGCAGCTTGGCATTGCTCTTGAGCGTTCCACAATTGCTGCCGGAATTGTTGTTGCTGCTGCTGTTGTTGCCGCCGCCAATGCCAACGCCGGCGGTGCTGTTGCTGCTGCTGCTGCTGCTATTGTTGCTGCAACTGCCGCTGGCCAGGGGTGGTGGCAGTGGCATCGGTAGGGGCAGGGTCAGGGGGAGTTGTTGCTGGAGGGATTGCAGGTTCGGGGGCGGGGCCATCAAGTCACTCACATAGCCCGAGGCGGTGGGATATTTTAAGATACCCGGCGGCGCCAGCGAGGGTTGTGCCAACGAAACCACAACCTGCAGAAATAATAAATAAATAATAAAAAAATAATTTAATATTTAAATAAAATAATATATAAGAATTTAATATTTAATATATATTTTAAATATTATTATTATTTATTTAAAATATTATTTAAATACTTATTTATTTTAAATGATCTATTATGATTTATTTATTTAAAATATTAAAAAAAATTGTTTATTTAAATCTTATTTAAATATTTATTTTTTTCAAAAAATATTTAAATACATTTTTCTTTAATTTTGTATTTTAATATTTATTAATTTAAAAAATATTTAAATATTTATTTATTATAATTATAATTTTATTTTAAATGTAATATAAATTTTTATTTATTTAAAATATTTTTTTACTATTTATTTATTTAAAATAATATTTAAAATTTTTAGTTTAATATTTATTTCTTTAAAATAATATTTAAAATTAAATTTAAATATTTATTTATTTAAAATAATATTTGCAGTTATTATTTGCACCCACCTGACCGCCTGGTGCTCCACCGCCTTGATTGGCCGCCACCTCAATGTCCTCCAGCGTGGGCATGGGCAGCAGGGGCGTGGTCTTGAAGGTCGTTGTCGTCGCTGTCGGCGGTCCTGGCAGCAGGAGTGGTGCTAGCTGGGCGGGCGGCATGCTGGGCAGGATGCCAATGGACACATAGCTCCCGGCAGTGTTGCCGGTTCCGGAGGTGGGCACACCTCCGATGACGCCGCCACCGCCGTAGTGCATTCCCGTCGTTGTTGTGCTCCCTGTTAGTCCTACTGATCCCGTTCCGGATCCGGGACAGGATGTGGGCGTGGCTGTGGCCATGGCCATGGCATGGCTGGTCAGCTGCGAGGGCGGCGGCGGCGGTGGTTGCGCCCCAGTTTGCATTGACATCGGTTGATCCGGATTCATCTTGCATTTGGTCGCTGTTTCGCCGCGCTTTCCTGCTTCCACAGATCGGTGAGTGGATTAATCAATCAATCAATCGATCAATTCAATAATTAATCAATTAATCGATCAATGAATAATTAGTTAATAGATTGTTTTAGCAATCTTTCTATCACTCGGGCTGGAAATGAGAAGAAAAGAGAGAGAATTTATTATAAATTATTATAAACTAAACATTAAGCTTGAACTTGATTTTTTTAAAATGTATTTGTATTAATAATTCGTATTAAATTTATTTAATATTTTAATGGTCGTCTTGAAAAATGTTTTTTTAATTTTTAAAATTATTAAATTTTTAACAAGTTGAACTATTTTTCTTTTTGAATTTTATGAAGGTATGTCATATTTTAATCTTTTTTTTATAAATAATTCATATTAAATTTATCTAATATTTTAAATTCTGTCTTGGAAAATGTTTTTTAATCTTTAAAAATATTTAGGACATCTTTTAAGAAGTCATTATATTTTTTTTTTGTATAAAAACTAAACTTTTTCTTTGAACTTTTTGGCCTTACATTTATTTTTATGTTGTTTTTAATTCAAAAATTGTTTTAAATATTAAGTAAAAAAAAATTAAATATTCTATGGACATTATTTTAAGGGACAGTATTTTTTTATTTAAATTTAATTTATAACAAAAGACTCCTCAAGTAGCTTGAACTTAATTTCCATAAAATAAAAATAATAATTTAATCATAAAATTATATTTAAAATATATTAATTTTATTATTAAATTATTATTTTATATTTTAAATATATATTATTTAACTATACAATTGTATTTTGTATCAACAACTCTCTCTCTCTCTTTTACCTTTATATTATACTCCTCTTTCCCTATATTGCCTTCCCAATATTTATTGTTTAAACCCAAGCCACTTGGCTACATCTCATCTCATTCGGTATTCATTGACTTAATTTTCTGCCAAAATAGGCAAATAGATAGGATATAAACCGATTTGGTATTCCGCCTCGATGGCCAAAGGCAATCGCTTATAATTCCAGGGAGATGGAGGTGGAGATGGAGGGAGGGAGATGGTGACTGAGGGGAGGAAGGAATAGGGATGGCAAATCCGCAAGTGCCGCAGAAGCGGCTGAAACTCATTTGGAGTTTGAATTGCGAGCGGCCAAGGAGTTCCGTTCGCTCTGGCCTCTTGCTCAGGTAAAGTGGTTGAGTGCGGCTCATCAAAGCATTAATTAACAGGCACTAAAACACACACACCAACACACCAACACACACGTAGCCACACTCAAACTGGCACAGACATGACTCTGGTCTGGTAATCAGAATGCCGAAGACATTCCCATTAATTTGCCCAATTGAATGCTTTTCATTAAGTTGCAATTACTCGAAATTAATCGCTTTTGCCAAAATGCCAAAAACTGACTGGGGTCTGGTGTGTGTGTGTGTCTGTCTAAGCCTCTTAGGCCCATTCCCCTCCTACACCCTATTTTCTCATCAACTTTGTCATCGTCGATTGAAGTTCGGTTTCGCTTTGATTGAAATCCAAGGAAGCATGGAATTTGTTTAGTTTTCATTTCGATTTTCACCCCCCCAACAATTAGGGTCTCACTCAGGTGAAAAACTGAAGCTTTCTAAATTAGTGGCCTTGAAGTTTGGAGACTTTTAGAGAAGGGAATTTTTTGGAGCGGAAGAAAAGCCAGGGGAAAAGGGTGGAAAATTATGGGAAAGGAAATTGAGCAGGGTTTCTTTGTAATTTTTAGATTTTTTTTAGGTTCTTAAATAAAAAAGGTGGCACGAAAATAAATAATTGTTAATTAGTTTTCTTAATTTATAAATTTAAATTATTGCAGATTTTGCTAGCTAAAAGAAAAAGCAAAATAGCTTCCAGAAAATAATTTTAAATTTCGAAAAATTAATCAAAGGTGGTTAAAAATTTAAACAATTGTTAAATATTTTTTTAAATTAAATTAAAATTATTATAGATTTTTTAATCAAAAAGACTAGACTCCAAAAAATAATTTAAAATCTCAAAAAATCATCAAAAAATATAAATAATTATTAATCATTTTCTTAATTTATAAATTTAAATTATTACAAATATTTTTAATTTAAAAAAGACTGTCCTATATTCCAGAAAATATTTTGAAATCCTCAAAAATCATTCAAAGGTGGTAAAAAATATTATTAATTGTTAATTTATAAATTTAAATTATTACAAATTTTTTCAAGATCAAAAAGACTTTAAAATTACCATAATCGAAAATCGACATAAATCAACCTGAGTTCTCCAATAAAATCCCCAAGATCGTATGCTAAAAGAAAAACAAAATACACAGAAAATAGAAAATAAAAAAAAAACGACTCCGCCAGAAGGCGGCAAACATTCAAAGGTGTGGCAATTAAGGACGCGCTCTCTCGCCAGGACACAAGGACACGCCTAGTGTGTCGTGCACTGCATATTTTAAGGCTTGTTGCTCTGTGTAGCCTGGCTTGCCCTTGGCTTTTCCTTCCCCCCCACGGCAGAAGGCGGTCAAAAGGCCGTCAAGTGGCGCTTAGAAAAGCGCTTGGGAAAAACAAAAGCAAAAAAAAAAAAACAAAGGCGGAAAATTCAGTTCAAGTGCAATTGAAGCAATGCCATCCAATGTGTTGCGCATTTCGGATGCACGGCGTCGGGCAATGGACACCTCTTCTTCGGACAGGTGAATCTCGGACGAGGGCAAACTTTGGCAGGAAAACAAAAACAAAAACAGGACAAAACCAAAACCAAAACAGAATTGGAAGACAGCAAACAGCAAAGGCACAAAGGGCGTGAATCAAACCGCAATTGTCCAAGGTGGGAATAGCTGTGCATATAGGGTCAGGAATACAATTGCAATCAAGGTGAATCGTTGGGGAATCAAAAGCAAGAAATTCTGGCAATTTTGTTGAAAATAAAGGGTATTTCTTAGAGAAAAGAAGGGAGAGGTTTAAGAGTTAGGTGAAATTTTATTTTATTTAAAAGTATTTGGTTACCTGACGAAAGGTTTTGGTAGCTAAAATAATATTTTTAAATATTTTAAATAATATTTTTGATATTTTTGATATTTTAAATAATATTTCAAAATTTTAAATAATAAAATAATATTTGAAAAATATTATTTAAACTATTTTCGGTATTTAAAATAATATTTTAAAATATTTGAAAATATTTTTTTGTTATTTATTTTTATAAAATATTATTTAATTTACCAAAAATATTATTAAAAATTTATTTTATTTTATTATTAAATACTTTAAAATATTATTTTAGACACCGAGACTCATCTAGCTCTCAAACCTCAACTTTTTAAATATTTTAGAATAATTTTAAAAATCTTAAAAATATTTCCATAATTATGCTATCAAATTCAGCATCTTAGGTTTACAATTTTTATTTTTATTTTATTTTTTATTGCATAATTTACATTTTAAAAAGTTTAAAAAAATCTTAAAGATATCTGTAGCTCATTAGTGTATTGATTTTTTTCATTATATTTGTCAACTCCCTTTTACCCATTCCTACCTTCTCTTATTTATCACAAAAAAACTTTACAATTTTAATCAATTTACTAATTAATTGGTTTATACTTAACTTTAATGAAACAATTAAATTTAAATGGGCTTTTGAACCTTTTTCGCACTATTTTTAATCGATTGCAAACACAGCAGCAGCAGGAGGAGCCGCATCAGACAATTTTTGCGACTTCAATTCCATTACGCATGATTTGCGATGCAGCCAGCAGCTGAAACATGGTGTGCGGAAAATCCCCGCTTTTCCGCCCATAAAACCTAGAGACAGAAATATGGAGACAGAAAGAGATAGAAAGAGAGAGAGAGAGTGAGGGAGCGGGAGCGGGAGCAAGAGATCGCTGAAGGTTGCGGAAAATCGGGGGGATTAAGAATCATTTCCTGGTGCAGGCAGTTTTCCAGCCTGAACATTAAATGCTCGCTCAAATGAGATGAAAACGGGGCCGGGCTTCTGACCAGCACCAAAATCACTAGCCAGGCGAAGCTGACCACAAAAAAGTGCTGGGGGTTTTGAGTGGATGAACACAAAAAAAAAAAAAGAAAAAAAGTGATTGGAAGAGGGGATTCGAATGAGAGATACCTGTACTGATTAAAATGTTTACTTAAATTCTCTCTACAAAAAGACACCTTTTAAAAATTGTTAAAACCAGTTGGGAATTATATTTTAAAGTACCTTGCCCTAAATTCCTGGAAACCTTTTCGTTATTCTTGATAATGTTCTAAACTTAAAAAAGGGAATTACATGAATTTAAATAGAAAAGAAAAAATTTTAATTTAAGAAAAATATAAAAATAAACCCTTAACCCTTACAAATGAGTACTTAATTGTAGAATATATTTCTATATTTCGCTTGATTTTTCTAGCTTTATTATTCATATTATATTATATTTTAAGTCAAAAGTATGTGAAGGAGTCATTTCCGACCCTTTAAATCATATATATTCTTGATCAGGACAAAAAGCAGAGTCGATCTAGCCATGTTTAGAAGAAAATAATTTTTTTATTTTTTATTTTTATTTTTGAGGTCTTAAATGGTTTGTTTGTCAAAGAAAAAATTGACAAAAATTTTAATATTTTAAAATGTGAAATTTAGTATGCAGTTTCGTTACCCTAGAAAAAACTAGCACAGAAAAGCTTTTCGAATTGAATTTGATGCTTTTTTGGCTTAGATATGATTTTTTTATAAAAAAAAATTACTATTTAAAATATATAAAAATATTCATTTAAAGAGGGTGAATATTTTAGACCTTCTTAAGAGGTTTTATGATTTTAGTCAGCGAAGGAGTCGTTTCCGACCCCATAAATCATATATATTCTTGATCAGGACAAAAAGCGGAGTTGATCTAGCCATGTTTTGCAGAAATTAAAAAAAAAATGTTTTTTTTTTCATTTTTGAGGTTCTAAATTGTTAAAATTGTCAAATAAAAATTGGCAAAATTTTCAATTTCTTAAAAGGTGAAATTTAGTATGCAGTTTCGTTACCCCAGAAGAAACTAGCACAGAAAAGCTTTCCGAATTGAATTCGATGCCTTTTTGGCTTAGTTATGATGAATTTTTGATTGAATGACAGTTCCTATGGCAAACTGTAAGGGTATACAAATTTCGGCTTC